ATATAGGAGTATCGCGGCACTTGGCTAGACTCTGGCCCGATCCGCAGGGCTCCCACGATACTTATGGTGGTCGCGACACTATATTGAGCCATCAATATAGTCAAATCATTTAGGGATACACCGCTATCTTTGTTTATTTGCTTAGTTAAGAGAGGGATCTTAATCCTTAATTCTCTAACGATAAACTATCTAGCATTAGCCCTAAATAACTTAGAAATATACTAGTACTAGTATAAACCTTATTAATTGTAATCCTTGTGGCTGGTGGGAATTTAAAATTTCGTTTCTCTTTATACTAGAGGCAAATTTCCCAAAAAACCCTTCAATCGTCTCGACTATAGGCCGTTCTTCGATCCGACCGTTCCTTCCTCTTGAAAAACACTCGAGGAAAGCCCTGCAAGTTCTAATGTCCGGCGGAATGACAGCCTACGGATGTAATGTGACAAAACTAGCGATAGAGGTACGGTTTAGCGACTTGCTTCTCTGCTCCCACTGCTGAGACTTACTTATCGAAAATACGTAACGTGTCACTGTAACCAGATTCTGTTCGTGGTAGCACTGCCCGCTGGATTTTATTATTACTATACTGCCCGAAATCCACCACATTGGTCATATATTTCAATGTTGGGTCGTGCTTGGCACGTATCTTGCTCGTGACTAAGCGGGGTTGGAGTGACAAAGCGAAGCTGGAGAGAAGAAAATGGACGGGGAAAGGAAGGATACTTGTGGCTTTTTTGGTCATGATGAAAATGTACCTTTTGCTGTACGGGCAGAATATTCGGGTGAGGAATATTCAGGTGGGTGAATATCTGCCCTGAGTGTCCTGAATAGAGCGGCGAGCCGCCCACGCCCGAACCGTGGGCGCTAGGTGACCACGGTCATACTCATGCTGTTGTATGTTTTTTTCGTGGTCTTTTTGCTTCGATTTTCTCTGCAAATCCCATAGTCAAGTTGGAAGGCAACAAGCAAGATTCTCAGTCTTCATCGTTGCTGCTTCGCTTCTTGTTCACTAGTAATAGAACCATGTCCAACCTTTGACTAGCCTCACATCTCTTTTATATAGAAAGTCTTAGGAATTTAGCATCATCTACAACAAGATGCCAAATCATGGCATCGGGTCCTGGAGTGGATCCGCAGTCTCTAATGCAAAAGATCAAAGAATCGGAAAGACTCTATCCCCTCGAAGCGTGCATGAAGGGATTCTGATTCTTGACACTGACTGGAAAACTTGCTCGGGTCCAAGCTTTCTCTAGCTGAATGAACTCGCAGGATCTCGGAAGACGATGATGGCAACTGGGAGGCCTTGGTCAAACAAGGTGCCAACGAAAACGGGGTTGAAAAGTTGCATTATTTCTTCCAGGGCGCAGATGAGGACCTGAATAGCCCTACCGCACTCCTCAAGTCCTTGATATATCTCTGCTTCAGAGGCGCTCATCTCTGATCTCCCATATCGAGAAGGAATATGCCGCCTTCAGAGAGGAGCTGTTTGATAACAAGTACATATCTGACAACTCATCTCCCGTTCTTACAAGACTGCTACAGTAATTCAATAAATCAGTCATAAACTTCTATCATCATCGACACCCTAGGTGAGTGCGTTGGAGAAGATCAAGAGCGTCCCATCAATTTCTTGCAAGAGCTGGGGCTTAGAGGTCGAACCTGCGTAGGCACCAGAGTGCTCGTGTCCGGTCAGCCATCGCTCCAGTTTGACAACTGCGTTGTGTTCTTTGATGAGCGGAATCTTAAAGTACCCAATGAAAATTTTCATCAATGTACAAGTGGCTCGGCTCAATGTTAAGCCAACAGATGAAAAGTTAAAAGAGATCCTCAAGGAAACCGTCAGCTTGTTACGGGATCGAGCAAGGAAAAAATTTCACGGGAGAGCGTTGATGTGCAAAGAGCTCCGAAATTCATCCCTGAAATGATGGAAGGACACGTTTGAAGAGGCTCCAAGCGAGATAGACGTATGGCGTTTCACTTGCGAAGCTAGAAGACGAGAGAAGCGGCGCAATCTTGCCTGCTTGTATGGAAATTGTCGCTTTGGCGACGATGGTATCTCGACGCTTGACCATAAGTGAGATCTCTCTTCTCATCAACTTACGCCGTGATTTGTTGTTGGGTTTTATTCCACGGTGGAGGTCGTTCCTATCCGTGCAAGATGATACCATACATCTATTCCTTCACACGGCACAGGAGCATGTTGAGAGAACCCTCGAAAAATTGGAGAACGTGTTACCGAAGAGCTTTTGACAGTTTTCCGTCGGAGAAGATTCTTTGGTTTGTTTATGGTACATTAGACCACTGTACGAAGATTGAAGAAGTCCAGTAGAGCGCAAGCTGACTAAGTCGAAAGAGACCCGGAACTCTTGACGGATCATCCCGAGATCGTTCCACATTTAGACCAGCGATCTGAACGGCAATCCATCGAACTAGTGAGTCTACCACGTTGTCACATAGATCACGCGTGGTCTAATCAGCTATACCTTCATGTTGGAAACACTACATGCCTGGATCGGCCAGCCCGTCCAAGACCACCGCTCCCTTCCCATCCTAACTATCTACCTGACCTCCTGCGCCGCCCTCACAATAAAAATCCTCCTCAACATTTACCGCGGCTACCACACCCATAAAACGCAGTCGAACTGGCGCCGCAGCTATGGTTCTCAATTCACCATCTTCATTGCCCTATCGATTCTCAGCATCACAACAACATGGTACTACATGTTCGCGTTCTTTGCGCATTCCTACCGCAGCTGGGAAGCCAGACAGTCACCCATGCAGCGGGCATTAATTGAGGTAGCACCGCATCTATTGAAATGGGAGATGTGGCTACGGGATAGCAAGCTGTTCCGGGAGGCGTGGGAGAGTGTGTCTGCCACGCCGGCGAGAACGTGGTGGAGCGGGCAGATTTTCCTCTGGACGATTGGGTGGAGTTTGTTCTTGGGCGTTATGGGTCTGTATCTCATACCTTTGGAACGCACTTGAAACTATCGTTAACCCTACCAGGCCGTCGATACCATATCCCCAATGTGTGGATGTACATGCTGCTCGGGCAGATTGTTGCCATCTCCTTCGCACAGAATCTGTTCTTTATCACAGTCATCGTCTCAGGCCCGAGTTCCGTTCCATCTACGAAGCTTACATGGACACCCCCTGTGCTCCTCGATCTTGCGCCGGTCGTGATTTCCGGCCTCGGCGCTGCGGCTACACCCCTCGTCGCGAACACGCCGTATTTTATGCCTGTTCTTGCTATTCCTCATCTCCTGCTATTCGTCCCCGGTCTCCTGTCCCCTCGACTTCTACCGCAGGGCTGGGGTGCATACATCGCCCAGCCTACGCAGAGATATGCCTCTTGGTACAAATGGCTCTTCGCGATCGCGGTGATCATTCAGGCACGGTCTCTGTATTCGGTGGTTCTGGATGCACCGAGTTTGCTAGGAGCTTCGGTAGTCGATCTCGGGCGGAGATTAGTGGATACACTGTTGGAGCATCCGGCTGTGAGTAGCGTTGGGTGGGATGTGGTGTGTTGTACGATTTCATGGACTATCTGGATGTTATTGCGGGGTGGGTTTCAGGAAATGCTGGAGTAAGAGGCATCAAAATACATAGGTCCCAGGGTATTTCAAGGCCTTTGGTTCATAAAGTCCGACTGTACTGTATGAATTGACCATTACAGTTTACCATACCTACGGCACATCTCCCCCGAGGTCCCTGGCAATCCACATCACTGTCATCTCCAATGCACCAACCCTGACCCAACCCGCCTTCAACAATCTCCTAAATCAGTTGTTGAATCTTTTGCGCAGGACACGTGTGAGTGTCAGGAGCAGAGGATTGTGTTCGGGTCGATAGGTGTCCGTGGGTTCCGTGGGTTTGATCATGACGAGAAGTCGGATCACTGATGGTGCTGTCCTTGTAACTGCACCGCAGAACCCTAGAGACTATCCAATGTATCACCTTCGCTGTACGCCGAGGCTGTTATGAAGGAGCAAGCCGAAGTACAGGAGACATGTCGAGTGTTGAACAGGATCGCACCCTACAAGACCGGAGCAAGAATATATATATATATATAAAACAGAAATAGCCTCTAGCTGTGATGTGCAACAATCAGTTCAAACCCCAAGGCTCATTGGTCAACAAACGACAAGTCGCAAATGGACAGAGAAGTAGCTAGTATGTGTCAATTCAAAGTGCTCTATAGGTCATGCTCTACAGGCATAAGGTGTCCACCCAGATGCTCGATTCCACACGCATGGGTTTGGTTCACAACCAACCGAACAGTAACAACCCTTTTGGAGATGACGCCGGCGACAAAGCAATATAGACCATGGCTAGACCGAACGTCCCAAGCTATACACCCCCCCCTCCCCTAATTCGACTTTCCCGAAAACGATACCAGAGCCTGATAAGACTCTGTCAAAGGCCACAACCCCTGAGCAAAACCAAGCGCCCCAGCAACGAGAAGTACATAATACGCCACCGTCCACCCAACTCCCAATCCCCCACTGTTACCTCTCACCCCAATTTTGATATCATCAGAATCATCTTTCCGAGTCACAGGAGGACCAATCGTCTCACCAGCCTCAACACGTCCCCAGAACCGCGGCAATCCACACCAATTACAGAAACTATGGATGCTAACAACGGCCAGCAATGAGCCGGTCCGCAAATAGACGAAAGTCGCATACCAGCCGAAGATAGTCGTGTAGCCGAACTGGAAGAGCGACCGCAGCAGCGCGGCTAGTGCCGGCGTATCTGGGTGCGTCAGACAGAACTCGTAGAAGTGGTGCACGTGCGCGATGCCGAAATACAGCGGCGCCAGGAATACGATTCGACCCGGCGAGGTGTGTGCTAGTAAATGTAGCGGGACCATCGCAGATCGGAACATGACTTCTTCTGTGAAAGGGCCCTGACCAAGATGTTAGATCTGAAGCTTTTTTTTGGAGGGGGGGTTTCTGCCCCCCCCCAAAATAAGACATGCTTACCGCGACAAAATTCCTCCAGCCAATCCAGCCACTCAGACTTGCAGAGAGGCTATTAGGACGAAACCAGAACTTCCACTCGCCCTCGACAATGCCACGCTCGAAGAGCGGGCCTAGGAATAAAATGGCGGTTAAGAAAAGACTCCGCAGCGTCTCCAACAGGCCAATGGGCCACCAACCGAGGAGTCTGACCCCGGCACCCACGGAGGAATTATCCTCATAGACGATGAGCCAGAGAACTAGGACTGAGCTCACGATACATGAGCCTGTGACGGCGCGGATGCGAGCGCGAATCACGGACGGAGCATCACGACTCAAACTTGGGGATGGGCGGGTTGTTGGGGAGAGATAGAATGGTACCACATAGAGTAGTGTGAGAAGGACCTGAATGGGGGTTAGATAGATGTAGAGTAAAGTGTCGTGGTTTTTTTTGGTTTTTTTGGTTTTTCTTCTGGTGGTGGTTTTGATGTTTCTAGGAATTCTACATACAGACAGAAAAGCGACCGTCTGTTCTGACAGGGCAGGTTCATCTAAATTTGTATTAGTTGAGACGTTCTTTAAAGGGATTTCCCCTTCACTTACCCTGCTTGGAGTACAGACTCTTCAGTCTCTCCATGATTCCTGCCGGTGCCATGATCTGCAGAGTTGGAAGAGATTCCGTTTACTATGGAATTTCTGGGAGAGTAGGATCTGGTTCTTTGTTCTTTGTTCCTGTTACCGTCCCGATGGAAAGGGAATGATTGGTTGTGAGTGGTAAAATACAGTCTGGTATTGTCATCACGAGCGGAATCACGACGTTCTTACAATTGTTCGGTGACAGCACACATTCGATGGACCACAGATGCACATGTCGACATCTCTAGTTGGATCGAGTCCTATTCAAGCATCATCATCCATTAAATAGGTTCCTACAACCCCTGTTTGGAACTTGGGTTAAAAAAAAAACCGGATGTGAGCTCTCACCCCTTGGTCTTCATCTGAAATGTGAGTCAATGCGAGGGATCGTGGCCCTTTATTCTCCGATCACGAGGGTAATCTTGCCAGCAGAACATCCTACATCCTATAGCGAGGCTACGCACTGATAGTTCATCGGCATGGACAACGCAGGCTCCACCGAAAATAGACGATTAAATGAGGAAATCGGTTTGAAGGAGTCAATTGTGGCACTCGACGGGTTGCTCCGCAATAATCTAGATTTGATTAAGAACCCACTTCCAGGTACTCCGTAGCTACCAAAGACATAGATATATTCTAAAATTATCAGCACAGGAACCAAAAAGGGACTTCAAGTGCATCAGATGGAATTGTTCAGTGCAGTACTTTTGATCTGGACCAATCGTTAAAAGTGCGAATCCCCCTGCATCTAAGATCTCACCGCTGGGCAACCAAATTCCTCCCTTTCAAAGTGTCTCTCCAACTTCGGCTTCTGCTGCTACTTTTGCTTTCTTGCTTTTTTGTCCCTTTCTGCGGGTGGAAACGGGGTTTAATGATTGCTTTTCCGCCAGTCACTCTTTTATGGTCTTGGATGTTTGAAACGAACTAAGTCGCTGACCTCTGTAACGTCGACACTCTGGGATGCATGTCGGCCTATAGAATCACCCTTGAGACACCACATTCCTTACCTCGAATACTCAAATATCCGGCAAACCAAACAATCCACTCCTTTGACAGCTTGCTTACCCACGTGTTGGTTGGACAATTCCCTTCGCCTTTGCTGTTCAATCTGTCTTTTCAATCAATGCTCCAAGTCTCTCCCAACCATGTCATTTCCCGTTCGGTCGACCTCGCCGTGCGTACGAAAGGCATTGCACGAGCGTACTCCTTCGCACTCAAATGAACGATCACCAACCCGGTCATTGCGGATCGTTCCGGATGAAGAACTGGATATGTACACCGCGACCCCATTCCCGACCAAGCCTGAGCAGATTCTGTTGCCTCTCCCCGGTAAAGGACAACAACAATACATATCAGACACCGGTTTCAGCTATTCGGACCACCAGGGACCATCCACGTCAGCATATCCGTCACCGGCCTGCAGTGAACCCGCGGCCAATAGCCCCAGAGATCATTCCATGGGTAGCTGGGATGTATCCTCCACAGTGGATACCGGGAACTCACCTCCGCCGATGTGGGACGATGACCCATCCTCTAGCAAGTCATCACTGCCCGACGATTCGGGGAAAGCACGGGATCATGGGGCTGAGAGTTCAGAAGTCGAGTTCTCCGATGACGAGATGATGGTCTTGCCCACGACCACGCCAACGATAAAAACCGTACTCTCCGAGCCATCCATGTCGTCCAAGTCCCCTGCCGAGTCCGTAACGGACTATTCCAGCCCCATTCTAGAACAAATCGGGGTCCCGTCAAGTCCCAACTTTGTTATGCTGGATAACTCGAGTACGATCTTCCACCGTCCCGCTACAGCATCCTCGGAGTCAGACCCACGAACGAACTCCCTCTCTTCGTATAACTCCCGAGGAACCGTCGTCAGACACGTCGGGGCTGCACCCTGGTTCCAAAACACCTTCCTACCAGCCTCATCCGAGCAATCGAGCTATGGATCCCCGTCATTCCACTCCAGCCCGCCCGCGCAGTCCATAGCCTCATTCCACTCGAGCCCGCCCGCACAATCCATAGCCTCGTTCCGTTCGTCATCCGGGGCACCGCTAGGCATCCGTTCCCAATCGGCAACATCTTCTTCTCGCAGTCTTCGCTCCGCTTCTGACTTGCAGGCAGCCATCGACAATGACGTGCCTATTCAATACCCGCGCATTCGCGCACCATCATCTTCAAGCTCCCGCGCCAGCACATCTGTTCCATCAGAACGTGACTTCGCCCCTGGCCCTGCGTCCGGACGTTGCAACCCCCACCTGGCATCAGGACGCTGGAACCCGCATCTATCGACAGTCTCTTCCATCTGGTCCGCCGAAGAATTAATCAACCTCGCCAGAGAATCAGAAACCGACGCAGCCTGCGTAATGGAAGAGCCAACATCACCGCCACCAGCAGCCCTAGCAACAGAAATGGCCAGATCCTCCGTCTGGCTCGTCGATCCCTCCAACGACAGTGATGACGAGCGCCTCGACAGCCTGACCAAACTCCCCACCCGCCCAGTCTTCTCCCAAAGCCTTTCCTCCGGCTCAAAGCGAAGCAACAGTATCCGCAGCCTCCAACGCCCGGGAACAGGCTCAAGCACAATCCTCAACATTCTCCCAACATGGGCCAAAGTCTACTACCTCCGTGAACCAATGGGCCTCAACTCAACTCTCTCAATGATCGACGGTAGCCGCCCACCATCCACCCGCACCGGGACTTCAAATTCAAGCGTCTTCAACCTAGTCCCAGGACCCCTCAATATCCCCCGTCCCCGCTCCCCAGAACGTCCCAGACCCACCTTCCCCCCAGGCAATCCCATCCCCCAACGCCGTCTGGAAAGTGACCCCCGCGATCCACGCGCTCACTGGGTCCCATCCCCACCACTCGACGACGGTGAGTTCACCGGAAGCCATCTTCACCGTCTCCGACACAGCTGGTCACCGCATCTCATGCCTGATCGACGTGCCTTGCAACACTCGACCAGTCGGTGGCGACCGCCATCACTCGACTCGCGCTACGAGCCTGTTCTCGGCCGGCGAAATATCCAGGTCTATTCTTTCTGTCTGGGTTTCATCTTCCCGCCCGCATGGTGGGTAGCGGCGTTCCTGCCTCTGCCGCCTAAACCGAAGGTCGCGCAGATGGCCGAGTTTGAAATTGGCTCGGACGTTGGCAACGCCTTCGAGGCTCAGTGCTTAAATTTGCAGCAAAGACGGAGGGACAATGCGCGTTGGTGGAGGAATCTTAATCGATGGATGATTCCCCTTGGGGTTGTTATTCTCGTTGTTCTTATTGTCTTGGCTGTTATTGGGACTACTACGGGGTTTTAGGGTTATAGGGTTAAACACTGTATTCGGACTGTGTTTCTTGCGATCTTTGATTTTGACGCTCTCACGACTTGGATTTGGATTTTCGACCCCGGTGAAACTCTTTGATGCTCTTTTCTTTATCTTTTCGTGAGGGTTGACTTCCCTCAACCAGTCGACTGGTTTCTTTTCTCCTTGCTCTTCACTGATACTGCAGGCATTTGATCCTTACTGTGATCTCTTCTTCTCTTGATTATTGACTATTCAGCCTCCCCCTTTTGTGTTTTTTACTTTCTCTTTCTTCTCTTGCCTTCTCTGGCTGCACATTGGTTCTGAACGACTTCACGACTTCAACGCATATAAATATCCTCTTCTGTTTTACATTTTTCTCGACGTTTCAACATTTGCCTATGGCTCATGTTTGCTGGAATTGCGTTCTATGCATGGTGATTGCCTTGGTTTGCTTTTTATGCCATACGTCCGTATACTGGATATATGTTTCTCGGAAAATGTTGTCTTTTTTGCTATTTACTTCAACTTCAATTTGGACGTCCTCTTTTCAACATTTCAGGTTGTACCCTAATGTACTGATAGTATACTCCACCGCTTCTTTACATTTTCTACATTGAAAGTAATGGTAATCAAGGCGTGCTATTCTCTATGCAACCCATCCCTTGAAATATCTAAAGACACCTCAGTCCCAGACGATATCTATCTCAGCCATGCCCCCACTATCAAAGACAATAAAAAGGAATCGCTTCTAACTTTTTTCTTCAGCAGAACCGAGAGAAGACAGGAAAAAAAACCATCCAACCGCTGTTCAACCCCTTATATCCCATAAATCCACCACTTACACCTAGGCAAATTCGGTTCTCAAACCAAAATGGCGACCTACAACTTCCGCCCGATCTGCTGCTCAATAGCAGCCTTCAGTTCCTCACCAGTAGGCATCCGTCCAATCCTCTGCTCAACAGTAGTCTTCAACTCCTCAACCGCAGCCTTCAATTCCTCAACCGTAGGCATCTTAACCGTAAGTCCTCGAGACTCGATCTCAGCCATAATCTCAGCAACAGCCTCGTCAAAGTCACGCTCGGGATCATTCGGCAGGCCAAGAACAGGTGGACGCATGGGTTCGGTGCGGGCGAAGTGGGCACGGTTACGGCTCTTCAGTTGGGCGACGAGGTATTTTCTGAGAGGGGAGAAGGAGGCAAAGGCGACTAGGGAGATGGCACAGTTGACGATACCGTAGAAGTAGACGCGCGACCAGGCGGTGACGGACTTTTCGAAGTTGAGGATGATGAAAGGGATGACGGCGAAGGAGAGGGTTAGTTGTGTTGCCAGCCAGCTGAGGATGTCGTAGTAGCGCTTGTTTGGTGTTGGCTTGGTGCCATCCGGTGTCAGGAAGAAGGGGCGCACGTAGCGGCGGAAGTCTATTTGATGATTAGATATAGGAGGGAGTGAATGAGGGTCATGTCCTGGTGCTTACTCTTCGCCACAGTCTGGATGAATGAGCCCAATACAAAAGTCATGTAGTATCCCGGGTGGAAACCGTGCCAGAGGGCACTGGTGGCGAAGGTAGCCATGCTGGCGCGGAAGCCGGGTTTCTTGCCCTTGGGCGTGACGCGAAGGTAGATATAGTTGCGCAGCCAGTGGTTGGTGTTCTTGTTCCAGTTGCCTAGGTAAGCATGCGAGTTCTGCGCCGTCTCCATGGCCCACGGATCTACGTTCTGCAGTCGGTTCCAGAAGACATTGCCGGATTTCGGGTCAAAGCCGTTGTATCCCATGCCAGATAGAATACAGGCACCCTCAGTCAGAGCCCAGACGCCGTAGTACTTGGTGCGAGCGGTGAAACCAAGCATGTGCACGTTGAAGATGCGACGCAGGAGGGAATACTGCAAGAACTCATCTGAAAGCACAAAGTGAGTGGTAAAGTATGAGCCCAGCTGGATGAAAGCTAAGATCCAGACCAGGCCAGCAGCGGCCTTCATTGCGGCAGGTCCTCCGCTGCGAGGAATCTTGCGCTTTTTCCGGGTGGGTGGCACCTTGGATGGGTCAGTTCCCGGCGGGACTTCGAAGAGCGTAGTGTCGATCCAGCGGCGGTAGACCACAAATTCAAAAGAAGGACCGGCAAAGAGAGAAGGGAAGAAGAAAACGTAGCCCAGGTAGTCTAAAATACCCGGGAACTTTGTAATAGCAGAGTACTTCTGCGGGTCCGAGAGTTGGTCCTTGGGCAGACGGCCATCATGAATATTCCAACAGAAGGAGGAAAGTTTCATGACCATGACCATCTGCGCTCCAGTAATATCAACGGCCGAGTTATCGTTCGCCCTCTGACGGTCGATGTGGTTGATTGACATATGACCCATGAGGAAAAGGAAGCCAATCCACGGCATCAGTGATCCATCCACGTAGTAGGCGATAGCATAGGTGGCTGCGGCACTGTACAGGAGGGTGCGTAGACCATCCCAGAGGTCGAAGAGTCCGATAATATAGAATAACGACACGGCGATGATGAAGACATTCTTTTTCCAGGGTTGGCCATCGGGTATACGTTTCAGGAGGGCGGCCAGTGGGTAGGAGAGGAGGAAGGAGCCGATCAGCTTGACTGGAGCTGGGGGTCAGAAATTGCTTGTAATATCAGGAGCTCATAGAAATAGAAGATCGTACGCTCATCAGTCGATGCGCCAGTTAATTTGGCTGGTACCTCAAATACTGCGGGGAGTGTTAGTTGGACCGAGAAGCTAGGAAGCTTGTATGGGAGCTTGTATGGGAGCTTGTTTGGGAGCTTGTTTGGGAGCTGACATACTCTGATCTACATAGGGCAACATACTGTTGACCTTGTAGAGAAGAAAACCGACAAAACTGAAGAATGAAGAGAGAGAGTAAAGAAGCAAAAGAAAAACAGGTCGAAGAGAGGTAAAAACAGCTTGTCATGTGGGAAGTGGAATTCCACCCCAACAACTTCCCGCCTTCTCCACATTCAACCCCTCGTTTTTCAACAGCTTCAACAGCTTCAATAGCTTCGATAGCTTCAATCCCAGAAAAAAAATATAACCAAATCTTTGAGAACTAATCTCCTGAAATCTCCCCACTATGGACGTTGTCGCGGCCGCCTCGGGGTACATCTCCAAGATGGTCACCGTGGGTGAGTCCGGAGGAGCTTCGTCATCCAAGATGAAGATCTTGCTTCTTGACAGTGAGACAGTGGGTGATTTTCCCCTGCTAGCAATATGCTGATCTCAATTGCTAAGTCCTATGATCATAGGTTCCTATTGTTTCGACTGCCATTACTCAATCTGCCCTCCTTAATCACGAGGTCTACCTCATCGACCGGTTAGACAACGCCGCGCGCGAGAAGATGCGACATCTGCGATGCCTATGCTTTGTGCGCCCGTCACCCACCTCTATTCAGTTTTTGATCGACGAGCTTCGGGAACCTAAATACGGCGAGTATTACATCTACCTTAGCAACATCATCCGAAAATCTGCCCTCGAGCGGCTTGCAGAAGCGGATAGCCACGAGGTCGTCCAGTCGGTCCAGGAACAGTTTGCCGACTTCCTTGTAATCAACCCGGATCTTTGCTCTTTGGGGATGGGTTTCCCATTGCAACGGATATGGAGCCATTCACCGGACTTGTGGAACCCGGATTCACTACAAAGAGCCACAGAGGGGGTCCTGGCCCTGCTTCTCGCATTGAAGAAGAATCCACTTATTCGCTATGAGAAGAACAGTCTAATGGCCCGGAAATTGGCCACTGAGGTCCGATATCACATCACGCAAGAGGAGCAGCTATTTAATTTCCGCCGGACGGATACACCGCCTATCCTGCTCGTTCTTGACCGCCGCGATGATCCCATCACCCCATTGCTGACCCAATGGACGTACCAGGCGATGGTACATGAAATGCTTGGCATCAATAATGGCCGCGTGGATCTGCAGGATGTGCCAGATATCCGACCAGAACTGAAAGAAATTGTCTTGGCTCAGGACCAGGACCCGTTCTTCAAGAAGAATATGTATCAGAACTTTGGTGATCTGGGCCAGAACATTAAAGAATATGTGGAGCAGTATCAAACCAAAACTCAAAGCACAGCGAATATCGAATCCATTGCGGACATGAAACGTTTTGTGGAGGACTATCCCGAATTTCGCAAGCTGGCAGGTAATGTGAGCAAGCACGTTACCCTGGTGGGCGAACTCAGTCGGCGTGTTGGCGAGGACAACCTCCTCGACGTGAGTGAGTTGGAGCAGAGCTTGGCATGCAATGATAACCACTCCAATGACCTTAGGGTATGTTCAAAAGTCAAACTGATTCTACTTTGCTCACAGACTCACTCTTTTGCAGTCCATCCAACGAATCATCGCATTGCCAAATGTACCCCCAGATAATAAGCTGCGCCTGGTGGCTCTTTACGCTCTTCGCTATGAGAAGCAACCCAACAACGCGCTGCCAATTCTCCTTGATCTCCTCGTCACAGCAGGAGAAGTCTCATCTCATCGCGTAAATATAATCCCCAAGCTCCTTGCCTATCACCACTCCCTCCAAGCACCACCAGTCGCAGGCGGGTTCTCCGACCTATTCGAATCAACGTCCTTCTTCTCTGGTGCAAGCAGCCGCTTCAAGGGCCTTAAAGGTGTCGAGAATGTCTACACTCAGCACTCCCCCAGACTGGAAGTGACTCTTCAGAATCTTATCAAAGGCCGCCTGAAGGAGTTGCAGTACCCTTTCCTCGAGGGCAGTGGACACACGCGGGACAAGCCGCAAGACATCATCATCTTTATGGTTGGTGGCACCACATATGAAGAGGCCAAGATGGTAGCGCAGGTCAATGCCAGCTCCCCAGGTGTGCGAGTCGTTCTCGGCGGCACTTCAATTCACAACAGTACAACCTTCCTGGAAGAGGTGAACGATACAGTGGGTAGCTGGCCAGAACCAGAACCCTCGACAGCTGCGGGACGGCTGCGACGCGAGTTGGGACGATAATTGTGCTTTAGTCAGTGTATCTGGGTAAGAAATAGCATTAAATCAAGTAAGGCCTGCAAATAAGAGACGATTCTATAACACCCAGAAGTGAAAACAGTGAACGACCACTTATTTCGCATTTGTCGCTATAGTTCTCCGTAGAGAGACAAACACCCCACATGCGGAGAGATTCATCTTCCTGTTCTCCCCTCATCTGAGAGCCACATCATGGAGCACACATCCCCCAAAGGAGGGCCCTCTCCTTCACCATCACGCGAACCAAGACTTCATCTCCCTTCAACAACCGATCCACCGGGCCCCCAAAATCCTGCCAGGCCCCTCGTATGGCTGGTATTAATTCCCATCCCCCACCAACAAACACCACCCCCATCCCAAATTAACAACTCCCCCCCAGATCTTCGGTGCAACCGGGCACATGGGCCGCTCTCTAGTCAAAACCGCCCTCGCGAACAATGACCTCGTAGCAGCTGTCGGACGCACATACGAGAACAGCCCCGCAGCAATGAAAGAGCTCGAATCAGCAAATTGCATCGGACTCCTATGCGACGTACGAGCGCGCGAGACCGTGAAACGCGTTATCGACCAAACAATATCCCACTTCGGCCGAATCGACATACTCGCAAATTGCTCCGGCTACGGCGTCATCGGCGCCTGCGAAGACCAAGATGAATTCGACATCCGCAATCAATTCGAAACAAACTTCACAGGAACTCTGAACATGATCCAGCTATCTTTGCCGCATTTCCGTCAGCGGCGAGCGGGGAGATATCTCATTTTCAGTTCGACGTCTGGTGCACTTGGTGTGCCGGGGCTCGGACCATACTGTGCTTCCAAATACGCTGTCGAGGGCTTGATGGAGAGTATGTTGTACGAGGTGGATAGTTTTAATATTAAGGGTACGCTTGTTGAGCCGGGGCATATGCGGAGGGATGATATTGGGGATATGGTTTCGCCGTCTGCGCAGGCGCCGGACCCATCTGAATATCAGCTTTCGGCGCCTTTGCCGCTCTATGGTCATTTTTTAGTGAAGCCGCCCAGTGAGCCGTATGATACGACTACGTCTCCAGCGGCGCATGCGCGACGGATGCTTATGTGGCTTGGGGACAAGCAGCCGGCTAGTGCGGTTAAGGCGGCGCATTTGGTTTGGCAACTTGGGCATTGCTCTTACCCGCCGTTGAGGTTGATTCTAGGTACATATGCTGTTGAGAGTGTGCGGGATCGGTTGAAGTGTATCATTGAGGAGATTGAAGATTGGAAATATCTTAGTTTCCCGATGGGTGAGACGCAACTGCCGGCTGGAGCGGGGCGTGAGAGATCTTCTTTTCAGGAGGAAGCCGAAGGAGGGAGTGAATTGGGCAATGGATGATTTTGGAATTTGTCATTGTCTTATATGTTATATGATACCCAACCCCGAGCAAGGACCGCTTCAGAGGATAGCCTGCATCTTCCCAGGCGTGGGGGGTTTCCTATGTGAGAATGCGTGACCCTTCACAGAGCTTCTGGAGTTGAACGCTTCTATGAGAAAAAGAAGACTTGCTCCATACCCACGGCTTGTGAGGATGAAGGTGACAAAGGCAATGCTTTTGCATCCAAGACTGCATAGATGCTGTACACCACCAGATGAACACCTTTCTGGCAAATCCCAAATTCTACATGATTTATCCGGCATGTTGAGCTCCAGACTATGTTTCCACCTCGGCCAATGCACACTGCTAGATGCCGGTCATTCGAATTTGTTTACATTTCCCACTTCATCGATGCCAGTAAACTCCTCTTTCTAGCCGCGGGCTGTCGATCATGTCTTAAATATCTGGGCTTTCACTGTAAGTACTGCGCATACTTCAGACGGACGAGTCGCTCCCAGTATGATGACCACCAAAAGGCTAGGTGAGCTTGATCAGTGGAGCAAGGAGATGGACATCGGTAGTCAAGGCGAGGAGAGTTGTGAGTCATGCGCTCTGGCGACTGCAGATAGGTCCAACGCCAAGGCAATCAGGAGCATTCTATTCAATGAGAGAAGGCGCCCTCGCTCTCAAATTCACGACCCAAGTACAACATAGTTGCAGAACAGCATGGATCTTGAACCAGGTCGGTCTGTTGTTGAACAGACCGACCAAGACGGGCTTGTATTGTATTCACCGCAACACCGCCAAGTGGAGTGCGCAGTGGGAATACCCTCGTCAATATACGGGGTGACTGCTTGAAGGTGGTAAGCTCCGTGAGTCAGACATCTTGCTGATGTTGGAGTGACTGTTATACGACCATGACCTGGGAAGGGTGTTGCGGCTGCAGATCGATTTGATCGGAAATTTGGAGTCGTTTTACCGAAAGTGCCATGACGTGTAGGATAAGGGGCATGATGATGATGATGATGATGATGATGATGATGATGATGATGATGATGATGAAGAAGAAGGAAACGATGGGAATTAGCAATATGAACTGTCCCAGTGTGAGAAAGGAGGAGTGATGGGCATGTTTTTTTTTGGTTCCTATGTGTGTATATTGCCAAAGGAAAAAGAAACTAAATGAGAAGAGAAAGGTCTACACAATGCCAAAAATATTGTACAAGTCTATCCAAGATCGTAATATAAAATCCCATATCTAACGCGAAGGGATAGAAAGGGCATCAGAAAACAACGTTGACTAGCTTACCCCCCTTAACAACGATAACGCGCCGTCTCTTCTCCCAATCATTCTTCTCTCGAAGCCAAGAATTCCCTTCAGCAGTCTCCAACACTCGATTGACAATCCAATCCTGTTCTTCCTGTGAATGAGCATTCTTGCCCTGCGACGCTGTCGGAGTCTCCATGCGCGGGATGGTCACAGCACAGCGGAGCTTTCCGTTGATTTGGACGGCGACCGTTTGGCCGCCGCGAGAGGAGAGGTTTTCGGCTTGGTCCGGTGTGAGGAGCGTGCTAGGCCAGGGTGATGAAAAAATCGATGGGACTTGTGTTGTAGCGGTATTTGTGGTTGCGTGTAGGAGTTCCCATGATTCAGAGGCTAGGGCTGGAGCGATGGGGGCTAGTAGACGAAGGAGGGATGAGATGGACAGGTATAGGATGAGAGGGGAGGGGGCGGGTGTTGAGGCCAGGGTGTTGGTCAGCTTGGTTAGGTCTGAGATGACTGTGTTCAGGCCGTAGGGGTTGCTTTCGATGCAGGTGGTGACGGATGCAATGGTGTTGTGGGTAGCTAGGACTGCGTCTGCGTCAGAGTCGCTCAGGTCCTGGAGCGATGACGGGAGCGGAGTGGCATGCGTGGTCGAAGATTTCAGGTCTGCCTCCGACACGGAGAATGATGCCTCTGTTAGGGTCTGCTGGGTGTCTTGGACTAGTTTCCACAGTCGATTGAACCAGCGCTCGACGCCGACGACCTTGGTTTCGTCCCATTCCAGAACTTCGCTGACCGGTGCGGAGAACAGAATGTGCGCGCGAGTTGCATCGGCGCCGTACTTTGATGCGACGGTGGTAGGGTCCACGCCGTTGTACTTGCTCTTGGACATCTTTTCAAAGGAGATATTAGGGGCGACTTGTGTTCCCTGTATCAAAGGCTTGTCTGGGTTGGCCAGGTCAACTTCAGACGGGAGAAGAAAGCGGCCGGTTGAGGGCTCAGTGAAGGTCTTTCCGTGGACCATGCCTTGGCTGAGAAGCACTTTGAATGGCTCTGCGGGTGCAGCAGAGTTCTGATTTGGGGACAGCTCAGATTGAGAGAGGAATTTGTAGATGAATCGAGAGTAGAGGAGATGCAGAATGGCATGCTCGACACCACCGATATACACATCCACCGGCTGCATTACCGCAGGTGAGAACGGGACTTCCTTGTTCGCAGAGTCCAAGAACCGCAAGAAGTACCAGGACGAGTCCACGAAGGTGTCCATAGTGTCTGTGTCGCGTCGAGCAGGACCATTGCAACTGGGGCATTTTGTATGAAGCCATTCCTCTGAGGACTCCAAAGGGTTTCCCTTCTTTCCCTTGAGCCACTCTCCCTCGATCTTCGGCAGCTTTACTGGAAGATCCTTGTCGGGCACCGGCACAGGACCACAGTTCCCGCAGTGAATGATGGGGATAGGTGCCCCCCAGTATCTTTGACGACTGATCAACCAATCCCGCAGACGCCAGCTCTCGACGAATGCAGCCTGACCGACCTGCTCCAGGTCATTGACAATCAGTTTTGATGCCTCCTTGGAGTGTAACCCCTGGTACTTCCCGCAGCGCGAGGTCAAAAAGCCCTCTTGTGTGAAAGCTTTTGTGTCTGACGTCGGGACAACACTGCTGTTTGTCTCACTGCCACTTGGCTCAGCCTCGATGACAACATGGATCGAGTCAGATTTCACATTTTCCCTAAAGAACATCATGTCCCTGGTGTCATGGCCCGGAACACCCATGACTGCTCCTTCGCCATAGTCGCTAAGGACATAAGGTGCCACAAAGACAGGAAGCTTCTTTAATAAGTGGGGGGTTTCTGCATCAATTTTGCACAGTGGATGAGACACCTCAATGTCGGATAACCGGTATCCTGCTTTGGAGTCTGGTGCAAGCGATGAAGCATCATTCAGGAATTTGCGAAGTGTTTCATCTTTCTCGGCGGCCTTCAACACAATAGGGTGATTCAAAGAGAGTGCCAGATACTCTACACCATATAAAGTGTCTGGACGGGTAGTGAACACATTCACATCGACTTGATCAGCCCGTCCAATTGTCACAGGGAATGTGACCTTAGCTCCGTAAGACTGTCCAAGCCAATTGCGCTGCATAGACAACACACGTTCCGGCCATCCCTCTGCAAGAGAATCGAGGTCTTTCAGAAGTGCTTCCTTGAAATCAGTGATCTTGAAGAACCACTGCTTCAAGTTTAACTTTTCAACCTTAGCCCCAGACCTCCACGAGAATCCATTGGCATCAACCTGGACGAAAATCAGATCAAATCAAGATATATCCTCTGGTCCTGACTCACCTGCTCATTTGCCAAAACAGTCTTATCAACAGGGTCATAATTGACCAACGCTTCCGCCTGGTACGCTAAATTCTTCTTATACAACATCAAAAAGATGCGCTGGGTATGCTCGTAGAAATCCGGGGAACACGTAGCCAGCTCCTAACAACAAGTTTCATCAATCAGCCATCTATCCGAAAATTAAACCCACGACCAACCCGCCGAATTCAAATAATCCACATCAACATACCCGATCCCAGTCAAACTCCGCCGAAATGCACCTCAACTGCTCCTTCATCTTCAAAATGTTCTCATACGTCCAAACCGCAGGATCAATACCCCTCTCAATCGCCGCATTCTCCGCGGGCAGCCCAAATGCATCCCACCCCATAGGATGGAGCACATCATGTCCGCGCATTTTATAGAACCGCGAGATCACATCGGAGATAGTATACACGCGCAGATGGCCCATGTGCAGCGTGCCAGACGGATATGGGAACATGGACAGGATGTAGGATTTAGGTTTATCTGTTGCGTCGGGTATTGAGCGCGGCGCGGCGCGGTCCCTTTCCCATTTTGCGTGCCATTTTTTGTCAAGCGCCGGGAGGTCCAGGCGGCGGGTTGAGGTGCTAGATAGTCTGGTTAGGGTGTAGATTGGTGAGAGGGCTCGTAGGGTTGGACGCGTGTGAATGCGGCCAGGCGCAATGGCGCTGGTTAATCGGAGGCGGGAGATGGATTGCATGGCCGGTTGATCATTATGTGTCTGTGATGTTTAGATATTGTAGTATTAATTGGAGTGTTGTTGGGCCATGTCGATTTGAAGGTCCGAGTTGTTTCACTTGCGCATCTTCAAAACTTCCCCGGAGCCCGGGTAGCTTCAGCCCCGATTTGGACTAGCGTACCAGCACTATAACTTCCAAGGGTTGGACCTATCTCTAGAAGTGATGATGCCGAGGTCCTTTGATATTTGTGGGAATTGATCTTTCTTGTTCAATACGTAGATCAAGGTTGCATGTCACCATGTATCATGCACTCTGCTCTATCCCAAATCTACAACCTCAAAATATCACCATTCCTGTCAATGCCACCCCGGAAATGATCCGCAACCACTCTTCCGCCGAGAATAGTCTCCCCGACAAGCCCCTCCACATGCTTGGGCTCAATGCGGCCGTACCAAATGCCCTTACCCGCCAGCGGGTGAGGCTCTGAAGAAGTTCCTACTGTCATCTTCGGCGGGATGTAGACAATCACATTGCCTGCGTATTTGTGTCCTCCAACATGACTGATCAGACCAATATTAGCGTGGTTAGGACCATCCACTGTGGTCCCATCACTGTCCACGGATGTGAATCCTCGTGCATGCAATACGCGCTTGAACTCGCTTTCCAAGGCGGGGGCCATGACACCACAACGCATGTCACGACCTCCATGTCCACATATTAACACTGTTGGAGAGTGGGTAATATCGACTACTCCCGGGAAATTTGATATTAGGTCTGGGGACCGGGTCATGTCTGCTTGTTTGGCTGCGGGGAGAGAGGAATGCATGTCGTGGAGCATTTCTGGGAGAAGATAAGCGCGTATGAAGGTCGTGAGACTGGTTGTTTGATCAGGCGATGGTGCCATGTTCACGGGTATTGACGGAATGTATTTGAAGCCGGGGAAGAGGAATGCCGAGGCTGAAGAGGGGGAGGACCGTGCAGCTGGCGCGATAGATGAATTCGTGACCAAAACATTGTTGAAAGGCTAGATCGATCAGATCTTTAATTAGCAAGAGTTTGCGCATCCATTGTCGGGTTTTGTGATCCACTTACATCAAGATATGGCCCGCCACGACCTAGCAGGCTCTTCAGTCCTCTCACAAGGTTGCCCCAGCCTTTGTTTTCACCATCATCCTCAATCCGACTCGTCCAGTCTGGCTGTCCTGTGCAGATGATAAGCTGCTGCGCGTAGGCAGCCATCGTCCCATTTAAGGCTTGTTCATGATCGATCGGTAAACCCTCCGGCAGGGCAGGCGTAGGTGGACAGTTGCAGCTTATTTCAGGGCATGTCTTGGTAACGGGGAAGGGAGGAGGGATTTCTAGGCGTGCGCGGAGTCTGCTGCTGCGCTGAGGAGTACTAGACAGTAGGCGGATGGTTTGGCAGATTCGATAGGTTTGCCCACTCCAGGCGCGCGGGAGCGATTGCGCGAGTATTGATCGCATTGAATATAATGACCTTCTATAAATTAGTAGAAGGGAGACAAATTGAAAACAAAACCCCAAAAAAGTCCAGAAAACAAAAGAGAGATGTAAACTTCAGATGCCCGAGTGCCGAGTCCGAGGAATCGGAGATTCGGAGATTACGATTGACCGCCGTTGATTCGTCGGTTCTGCAGATCTAACATCTATTCCACCATGGTCATCCAGATATCTTCGCCAAATTCAGAAAGATTCTACGTCAATTCAACATGACTTACATTACACAGGGTATGCGGACTAGATATCATTTTCATAAGATCAACACTCACGGGTCTAAGGCATTTGAACCTGAATCTTTGGAACGAATCTTCTCATTTGCTTTTGTTCTTTTTTGAAGGAGATCCAATTGATGAAAGGGCTTCTGGCCATTTTCGAACCTGATCGCCAGTCAATGAGACTGTATGCTGCAAGCTCGTGCCAGCTGAGAGATATGGTATCACTGCGGCTCAGGCAACTTCTGGACAGTGCCGCGTTGTAGTGGACAAGGGTATTGAAATTATGCGGAATGTTCGGCGCATAAATGCAGCCACGAGGGCAGCTTATCAGATTATTGACAAAAATACATGCTCTTGTGGATAGTGCGGACCACGTTTGTTGTCTGCGATACGTAGTGGCGGGGGAGGTTTTTTTTTCAAGGACTCGATTCATTGGACATAACCCACGTGTTGAGACACTACCCCGGCGTTGACATGGAAGGGGATCTCGTACTTACACAGGACTATCGCGATATACAATGCCGGTGGTAGGCTTACGATTACTCTAGCGAATGCTGAGGTTTTCGATGCGGTCTTTGTTGAGGCGGAGACAGATTGTCAGTTGGTTAGTAGACCTGGCTGACCGGTCTGACAGCGAATGTTGCAATAAGGACAGAGATGCCAATGGATGCTTGTGCAAAAGTTAAGAGGCTCTGACAGTTGGATTTTCTCCGAATTTGAAAGAAACCGCTTCGCGATTCCGTATTGCTTGCAGCCAGAAATCGAAGTTCAAGAGTGACAAATCGGATCGAATGGCCCCCGCACTGGTCATGCGACAATACGATATGCGCCGAAGCCCCGTGTGGACCATCAGATCACGTATGAAACTCTCAGCGAAATTCCACGGCGAAGATCGGTTGCATGGATCGAAATTCGAATAGGTAGTTTGGGATCGACGGTGAATTAGAACAGTAGCTAGTATTTTGTACGTCTCCCGTGACAGAACTATGATGTACAGTCAGTTTTCCTGCGATCCGAGGCACTTAACTGTAACGCCAGTCTCGTCGGACAAACGTTCAACGGTTCTCTAATCATTGCATAACGTTAGGTTTCCGACACTCGACGGAGTATATTAGGTTGCAATTTTGCAATCTAATGTCCGACCGAGGAGCAATTCGAAACAAAACGTGTGTTGTAGTTGTCCCCATTGATCTGCATTCCAGTGCAAGCAAACGCGTAGCGGAAAGACAAACAAAGTCTTCGACTCGGGAGGCAGTGGGTTAAAAACTAACCCATTAATCCCGTTTATGTCCATTCTAGATGCGGTTATGCTTTCCGTAAACCTGCCCATGATCTGATCTGGAATCTCATTAGTGGACCTCAGTCGTTTCTCCAAGACCTCCTCGCGAGGAGGCGATGTTTATTACGCGTAGCTCTGTATGGAAGTAGCGGGGCCGGAGTTGGAGAAGATGAGATAGAGGCCGAGTTTCGGCAGAAGAACGGAATTTATTCGGTATGGCTTCCATAGGAACCTGGTGTGCTGGAAAACTTAGGGAGGTTCAGTACCTTGTGAGACAGGTATTAGACGAACCAGTAGGTTGGAGATGCTAATTATTGTGATAAGTTGGGGGGGGGGGGGGGGTCAGGTTGGGGGCGATTCTGAACAGGCTCAACAGTTGTAGTCGGGTTGGGTCATTTTTACCCCTCATTATGTCAGCCAATTATGTCAGTTACCCCGCAGCGGGGTAACATCCAAGGATGTGTTAGTGGGCTGATGGGTTGGAGATTGAGATGGTGGGAATGCCGATGTAGAATGCTAGAGTGAAAAAAAGAGAGAGATTTTTCTATTATGTAGGTATTCTATACTTTGTAAGCGATGACTGTACAATTGTACATATCTCCTGGGCTAAAACATTGCAATGGTGCCCCTGCACGTTTGTCCTTTCAGAGAGTATTCCGTACATGCAAATTGTATAGGTGTAGTAATGTAGTACTGTGCTCCGTACATGTCCATCGGATAAATGGCAAGCAAGAAAAGTACGCTATATCCAAATATGATTGGCTATACATGTTGAAACATTAAATGCGCAACCTGTTTCTTGTCCCTCGTGCGGAGAGATCTCCAAGTGGATTCGCAGTCCAGTCCGGCTTTCCCGCTGCTATGTGTCCCAATAACTTTGAGGGGATGTACAGTATCTTTGTTTGTACAGAGGGGGATATAAAATCAGCTCCATTTGCTATCCAGATGATTTCTTTCTTCCCATTCTATCCCACTACTATCTGTTCTACACTCTTCCGACCTTTTTTTTCTTTGCCTGTAGGTCTACCCTTTGACGATGTCCCCTTTGATAGCCACATCGCATCTCCTAAATTACACACAGATATAACAGAGTGCTGACCCTTTTTCTAGCAATATCTTGAATTTTTCTTTTTTAAAAAAAACCTTCACAATGGTATTTATCCACTCTCTTTCTCGTCAATTAGGACGATCCTTTCTCTGGAGCCCTCTCAAGCCAACTGTTGCCTCCAGCGCATTCACTCGAGCTGCACCTTTGGCTGGCTCTATTTCCGGTGCACGTACACTAACCGCAACTGCGAATCTCCAGGGCAAAGTTCTTTTGGTTCTCTACGATGTAAGTCATTGTCACTCCATACTCTGCATGTGTCAATCGCTGACCCGGCCTTTTCTGTAATTTAGGGTGGTGAGCACTCCCAGCAGCAGCCTAAGCTGCTCGGCACCACCGAGAATGAGCTCGGCATTCGCAAGTGGCTTGAGGACCAGGGTCACACCCTGGTGACTACCTCTGACAAGGAGGGCGAGAACTCCACTTTTGATAAAGAGCTCGTCGATGCTGAAGTCATCATCACCACTCCGTACGTTATCCATGCATGGACTTTCAAACCTTCTAACAACAAACAGCTTCCACCCCGGCTACCTCACCGCCGAGCGTCTCGCCAAGGCTAAGAAGCTCAAGCTCGCCGTCACTGCCGGTATTGGTTCCGATCACGTCGACCTGAACGCAGCCAACACCACCAACGGCGGAATCACAGTTGCCGAGGTCACCGGCTCCAACGTCGTCTCCGTGGCTGAGCACGTCATCATGACCATCCTCCTCCTCGTCCGCAACTTCGTCCCTGCCCATGAGCAGATCAAGAACGGTGACTGGGACGTCGCCGCTGTGGCCAAGAACGAGTTCGATCTCGAGGGTAAGGTTGTCGGCACCGTCGCCGTCGGCCGTATCGGTGAGCGTGTCCTCCGCCGTCTCAAGCCCTTCGACTGCAAGGAACTCCTCTACTACGATTACCAGCCCCTCTCCGCTGAGGCCGAGAAGGAGATTGGATGCCGTCGTGTCGAGGATCTCGAGGAGATGCTCGCCCAATGTGATGTCGTCACTATTAACTGCCCCCTGCACGAGAAGACCCGCGGTCTCTTCAACAAAGACCTCATCTCCAAGATGAAGCCGGGTGCTTGGCTCGTCAACACCGCCCGCGGTGCCATCGTCGTCAAAGAGGATGTCGCCGAGGCCCTCAAGTCTGGCCACCTCCGGGGTTACGGTGGTGATGTCTGGTTCCCCCAGCCCGCCCCCAAGGACCACCCTCTCCGCTACGCCGAGCACCCCTGGGGTGGCGGCAATGCCATGGTTCCCCACATGTCCGGTACCTCCATCGATGCTCAGGTCCGCTACGCCAACGGTACCAAGAGCATTCTCGAAAGCTACTTCTCCGGCCGTGAGGACTATCGCCCTGAGGACTTGATCGTCCACAAGGGCAAGTACGCCACCAAGGCCTACGGTCAGCGCAAGTAGAATGTTCTTGCCCGATGCCGTGGGAAGTTTTCTCCGGTTGAGAGGCTTCCTATCCTCCTATATTTCTAAATGTTCCCAACAGTCCCATTTGCTCATAACATGGGTGATGCTGAAAAAGGTAGCATCTTTCACGATACCAATGAATTGTCTTTCTAACCTTTCCCTTTTTTTTTTTTCCATTTTGACACGCATTTTGAAATTTCTATCCTCTGAACTTCATGTACAACAAAAGTATGACATGTAGAGTTATGGATGATGATCGGTGGAGCTATGTCGATCTCGCCAGATTAATTGAGCCTAGCCCTTCGGTGGAGTCTACAACGTGTACGGAGTAGAGCTGATTTCTTTTTTAGACATTCTTGATGACCAAGTATGAATGGTGGCAATCGAGTCCAAATAACCGTGGACCTGTAGATCAACTGTTCCAATTACTCACGCCTCCGTACTCAAGCCTGCGACATGCAATTCCAAGGACAAAAACGGAACAGCTCTATTCCAAAAGTAGCCATGCTTGAAACACTACACATGCAAAACCGATACTAGAGAGGCTTGCAAAATATCCCTATGTTGAAGACAAAAATCCCAACCCCAAGAATGCAGGGATGTATGTACAAGTGCGATCTTCAACATTTCAAAGCCTTCCCCCCCTTCCATTCCCACTCCTCTCACCCTCCTGCTCATCACTATCATCCATAAACCCCTCCTCCAAATCCCGACTTAAACGACTCTCGGCATCAGCCACATCATCACGTCTCCGTTGCTCCAACGCACCTCGCCTCACCGAGTCTATATTCATCCTAACCAATATCTCCCCTTCCTCGTCGTCAATACTCTCCGTATCATGGTCAGCTGTGTGTGCCCCCCATCGCCACCGAGATCGAAGGAAGAATTGCATCACTTTATCGGCTATGCGGTCGCGTAGAGACAGTGTGTGTGTGGATATACTGTGTAGTGGGAGGTATTGCGAATAGCGTTGGTGGTACCGGCGGAAGAAGGGAATGATCACACATGAGGCTAGGATGTAGATTGATAGTGCGATTGCGGCCGGGATCAGGATTGTCTGTGGATGTAAGTGGTTTGTCAGAATAGGGTTATTTATTTTTAATGTTTTTTTTTTTTGGGATCTTCGTCATTGGCAATGGTGCGTGCTTGGAGATGACGGTGCGTCTTGCACATTGAGATAGGGGGGGTTTTGCGCGCACCTTGGCAAAGACCCTCGTTGATCCCATACTGGAGGGGGATACTAGGCTTCGCACCTAAGATAGGATGGTAGGGTGGTGAAGTTTGCGAGAGATTGCGGAGCGCGGAGTCCCACGGGTCCAGCACACGCGGCAGGGGATCGGCAGATCGACAAGCGGCCACCCGGGTGTCGTCAGATTTGGTTTTGAACGAGGTTTAAATATCTGGGATCACTCCCTTGTGCGATCTATTGTATAGAAAACTAGACTACATGCACTTGACTGTCTGTTGTAGCCTAAGGTAACAAACATAACATATCGATGCCAGAAAGCGAGTCTATCTAGTCCCAGGGGCAGCTGCGCTATCGCTGCTAGGGGGCCTGGAATACTAATAACACCGAGGGCTTCTTTTGTCGTATGTCTTTCTTCAGTCCCACTGTTCATCACTCGCGATATGAACAATCAACAGCAAGTAGAGCAACTGGGGCGCTGTTGATATCCAGGGGTAGTGATCTTCTCTGTCAGTGAATACCGGATTGTTTTTTTTTTTTTCAAGTGTGTCCCTTCCCGCCACGGACTTCGTTTCAATTTGCTTGAGTGATTCAACTCCTTGTTGTGCCATGTTTCTGTCATGTATATCGTCCCATCAGGAATCTATACATCTATGTTTTTCACATTGACCACAGGACTATGGTGATAGTTAATTTCATGTTCTTTTCTTCAAGAACGCGAGGCGAGAGTTGATAATAATAGAATAGATGCTAAACTCCAACATCAGGTGTTTTGTGACCCACGTTCATTCCAAGGTCAGGGCCTTCGAGTACTCCGGACAAGCTTACGTGATCTCGACGATCACGTGCACGGTCGGGGAGTTTCTCCGGGACCCCCTAACATCAATAGACTGATTAGAAGAACGCTCCGCTCGGGCTTTGATCCAGGCGTCAAACTGGACTTGACATTTGCAAAAAGCTTGCATGTTAATTTCCTTTTCTCCTATTTTGCTTTCCTTGTGGGGTGAGTGCCGTGAATAAACTTCCTTACCCCTCGGTCTCTCGCGACTCCGCCAGTCGCAACGGGTATACTAACTGGCCAGGGAGGGACAAAACAGAGAGCCACTTTCGCCCATTTTGAATGTCACCTTCTTCTCCCATATCCCTTGCGATCGACAGCGCCTTATCGCCAAATCTGACTGCCATACTTAATATCATTCCCCAGAGTGTTGGAGGGGCCCTTATGCTGCGCTCTGCCTCATCTTACTGACGCCCGCCAAAATGCCAAGTTCACAAGCCGAAAAACCCAAGCAAACCTCAACTGGAATGTCATTCTTCGGACGAAAATTGTACAAAGAGAGACCGACCGAGGAACGATACGACAACTATGCCGGTTCCTACGATGGCCTGGCCCCTCCAGGAAGCGCCGGAGGCTCACGCTCGTCCCGCCATTCGAAGCGATCTTCCATTCAATCTGTCGACATGACCTATGATTTGGATCCTAGTTGTATCGCACAAACCTCTGGCGTCATCACATCTATTCCCTTCGAAAGCCTCCCCAACGACACCAGGACCCCGATTCCAATCGACAACACGGCCCGCCCTGGCTCATCACGCAACGAGCCTTCGCCCAACCATCTGGGAAAATCTGGAAGTGACTATCATCAATATCCGACTGTGACATCCACGTCTGCGCCGAATGGGTATGCCCCACATCCTTCTGGCCCTCGCCCGGCCCCGTATGGCTCAAACGGCAACCTGACCAGCAGTAACTCTGGCGATCGAGGTGCCAGACAACAACAGCAACAGCAACCAGTGGGACGACCAGGCAGCTCCGCAGCGAGCATTGGACCTAATCACCACTCTTCTTCTATTGATTCGTCCTCCAACTCCCGTACCTCTCTCGACCAAGCTAGCATCTACTCCTCCGTTTCTTCGAACACGCGCGGTTCAAGCCACTTCTCCTCGGATAATTCCTCTCGCACTCTCACGAGCTCGCACTCGAATGACCGAACTGCCATGCTCCCCAGCTCCAGCTCGGGCCGCTTGTCAAATGCGGGATCCTCCTACCAGATCGCTGCACCGGCCGCTGCCCCCCGGCCACAAGATAACTACCTCACTCGACCGAAAGATGACCGAATTGTGGACCAGCTGTTCTTAGAGCTGATGCAGAAGCGAGGGTGGCAAAACCTTCCTGAACAGGCCAAACGGCAAATGTTGTCGTACCCCGCATCAAAGAAATGGACTTTGGTACATCAGGATCGCTTGACAGAGTTGCAAGGCGAGCAAAAAAGACGACAAAATGCGCGACAAACTCATGGACATGAGGGCCTGTCTGGTTTGCTTGAACGTGCCGACGAAGAAGGTAGCCCAGAATGGTACGTGAAGAAGGTGATGGATGACAGCATTACATCCAAGCAGCTCGCTAGTCTGAGTGTCAGCTTGCGGACACAGCCAATCAGGTAGGAAATGCCCTTTTTCTCGAAATCGTCCATATCACTAATAACTACACAGCTGGGTGAAAGCCTTTGTTGAAGCCCAAGGTCAAATCGCTTTGACCAATGTTCTCTTGAAGATCAACAGAAGAAAAGCTTCTGGTCCAGTTCCGGCTCCCCCAACAGGCGATAGAGATCTAGACCGGGAGTATGATATCGCCAAATGTTTGAAAGGTCTCATGAACAACAAGTATGGCGCAGACGACGCTCTAGAGCATCAAAATGTGCTAGTTGCACTCGTCAGCTCGTTATCATCGCCACGTCTCAATACTCGAAAACTTGTCAGCGAAGTCCTCACTTTCTTGTGCCACTGGGGTGATGGACAAGGCCACCAAAAAGTTCTGCAATCTATGGACAAGGTCAAACATGATCATAACGAAACCGGCCGCTTCGACGCGTGGATGCGTATTGTTGAGGTCACCATCGACGGCCGTGGAAAGATGGGAAGTCTGGTCGGTGCCAGTGAAGAGTACCGCAGTGGAGGCATTGGCATGGAGAACCTCCTTATGGAGTACGCAGTCTCTACCATGATTCTCATCAATATGCTAGTTGACGGAGCAGAAACGGACCTGCAGCTGCGTTGCCATATTCGCGCCCAATTCACATCATGTGGAATTAAGCGTCTGTTGACGAAGATGGAGGGTTTCCAGTATGAGGTTATTGACAAGCAAATCGAGCGGTTCCGCGAGAATGAGGCCATCGATTACGAAGACCTTCTCCAGCGGGAGGGCAGCAGCATGAAGGATAGTATCGAGGGCGAAGTCAAGGATATGAGTGATCCCATGCAAATCGTTGATGCAATCACGTCCAAAATCAACGGCAGCCGGTCGCATGACTACTTCCTCTCAGCCATGCAGCATATGCTTCTCATCCGCGAGAACTCCGGCGAGGAAGGGCTGCGTATGTTCCAGCTGGTAGATGCCATGCTGAGCTACGTGGCCATGGACCGGAGGTTGCCCGATCTTGATCTTCGGCAGGGTCTGACCTTTACCGTGCAGAGTCTGCTAGACCGGCTGCACACTGATGCTGAGGCAAGACGGGTTTATGATGAGTCGCTCGAGGCCCGGCAGATCGCCGAGGCTGCCATAGCTGAGCGCGATGAGATGAGAGCACAGGTTGAGCTTGGAGCAGAAGGCTTAGTCTTGAAACTGCAAAAGCAAATCGAGGAACAGGCTGGTATCATCGAGCTGCAACAACGGCAAAATGAATCCTTCAGGGCCGAGGTTGCCGAAATACAACGACTGCGTGCTTTGGAATTGCAGCGCAATGAGCTGGAAACCCGAGAACTATATCTCATGCTCCGAGATGCCCAGGACATCGCTGCTGCCAATGCCCGAAAGGGCATCAACTCTGACACGGCGGACGCAGTTGATCCATCCCAGATGCCCGGCATTATGGACCGCGAACGACTCATGGAACGTTTGGAGCGTCAGCTTGAGCGGACTAAGACCCAGTTCAAGCTGGAGGGCAAGGTCTGGGGCCAGCTTGGACCGTCTGATCGACTCCGTGAGCTGCGTGAGAAGATGGAAGGCGAAAGATATGACAGTGAGGACTTTGCTGAAACTTCCCGCTCACACCTCGAGCCTGGTTCTATGGGATCTGTTTACCGCAATCGCAGCCAAATCCCTACGATGAAATCGACGCTGGAAGATGAGGAGGACATCCCACTAGATATCAATGGCGAGCCGATGTACGAGAGGTCTCGTCTGGTGGGGCATCGTCCTCGTTTGGACCCTGCCCAGGCTAGCGGGTTGCTAGGCGAGCTTGCTTCTAGGGTTCCTAGGTTCGATGCTGAAGATCCCGATGTCATAGAAAGGGAACATGTACCCAAGCTGCAAAACAATGGAGCTGCTACAACGGCCATGCTGCCTCCCCCCCCTCCTCCAGGAGGCAAGGCTGCTCCTCCGGCACCACCGCCGCCGGGAGTTATGGCCCTTCCCCCACCTCCGCCGCCAGGAGGCAAGATTCTTCCCCCTCCCCCTCCCCCCGGGGGCGTCGCTCTTCCACCGCCGCCTCCCCCGGGTGGAAAAGTTGGTCTGCCTCCTCCCCCACCGCCTGGCGGAATGGCTCTCCCACCGCCTCCTCCGCCAGGTGGTGCCAAGGGTGTTTCTGGATCGCTGGCCCCACCTCCGCCCCCCGGTGGGCGAGTTGGGTTGCCTCCGCCGCCCCCCGGTGGGAAAGTTGGGTTGCCTCCGCCGCCCCCCGGTGGGCGAGTTGGATTGCCTCCGCCGCCGCCTCCAGGTGGTGGTGGAATCGCTCCTCCGCCTCCTCCTATTCCTGGAGCCAAGGGCCTGATGATCCCCCCGCCTCCACCCCCCAACGGTGCCTTGGGTTCGGGCTGGAGGTCGCCATTCATGGTTGGAGATGTTTCGCCCTCTACAATCCACATGCCATCCATTCGACCTAAGAGGAAGCTTAAGGCTCTGCATTGGGACAAGGTCGACACTCCTCAAGTGACTGTTTGGGCTAGTCACGCACCGACTGCCAAGGAGAAGGAAGAGAAATATACCGAGCTTGCTAAGAAGGGTGTTTTGGACGAGGTTGAGCGATTGTTCATGGCCAAAGAAGCGAAGATCTTTGGGGCTAGCACTGGTGCGAAGAAGCGCACGGCCAAGAAACAGATTATCTCAAACGACCTGTCCAAGAACTTCCAAATTGCTCTGTCCAAGTTCTCTCAACACCCGGCCGAGGAGGTGACTCGCATGATTATTCATTGTGACAAGGACATTCTGGATAACAACGTTGTCATGGATTTCTTGCAAAGAGACGAAATGTGCAATATACCGGAGAACGTCGCCAAGCTTATGGCACCCTACAGTATGGATTGGACGGGCCCTGGAGCTGCTACCTCCGATCGTGAACAGGATCCCTCTGAGATCACTCGCGAAGATCAGATCTATCTCTACACTGCATTTGAACTAAATCACTACTGGAAAGCAAGAAACAGAGCACTTGCAATGACCCGCACCTACGAACCAGAGTACGAGTACATCTCCGCAAGCCTAAAAGAAGTCTCACGAGTCAGCGAATCCTTGCGGGACTCTGTGTCATTGATGAACGTACTCGGTCTGATTCTCGACATTGGAAATTTCATGAACGACGCCAACAAGCAGGCACAGGGTTTCAAGCTGAGCTCCCTCGCCCGGCTGGGTATGGTGAAAGACGACAAGAATGAAACTACCTTTGCCGATCTGGTCGAGCGTATCGTGCGCAACCAGTACCCAGAGTGGGAGGGCTTTTCCGAGGAGATCGGTGGTGTCATTGGCCTGCAAAAGGTTAATGTCGATCAGCTCCGCACTGACGCTATCAAGTACATTGGCAACATCAAGAACGTACAGTCGAGCTTGGATGCTGGTAATCTGAGTGATCCTAACAAATTCCACCCTCAAGATCGCGTCAGCCAAGTTGTCCAGCGGTCCATGAAGGATGCTAGACGGAAGGCTGAGCAGCTGCAGCTTTACCTGGATGAGATGGTGAAGGCATATGACGACATCATGGTCTTTTACGGTGAAGACAACGCAGACGAGAATGCTAGACGGGACTTCTTTGCTAAGTTGAGCGCGTTCTTGGTCGAGTGGAAGAAATCCAGGGAGAAGAACATATCTCTGGAAGAATCCAGAAAGCGTACAGAAGCATCCCTCGCTCGCAAGAGAATCAATGTCAATCTCGCCAACAACACTCCCGTCGTAGAGGCAGCGCAATCGCCTGCCTCAAGTGGTGCCATGGATTCTTTACTTGAGAAATTGCGTGCTGCAGCACCTCAAGCCAGGGATCAACGAGACCACCGCCGTCGTCTTCGTCTAAGGAAGCAGCATAACGTCCGCGCAACTTCGGACCCCAAGCCACCACCTGAAACGGGTGGGCCAGACGAAAGCGCAGATGCTGCCGAAATCAAAGCTGATGGCGAAAACAATGACGAGAACGGTCTTCTCAGCCCTCCAGCCACCGCAGATGAAGACAGCAAGCAGGAAACTCACGTTTCTGAAGGCGAAGATGTTGCCGATCGTGCCGCCAGCCTGCTTCTTGGTCTGAGAAGTAATTCCGATGCAGGCGGTGGCGAGCGCCAGAGACGGAGAAGAGAGAGCGCAGATGAAGAGCGGCGTAACCGTCGCATGAGACGTCGCAATCCCGCGACAAGCGGGAGTAAAGATAGCGCGGATGGCTCTGGTGGCCTTGCTACCGTTCAAGAGCCTGCTTCTCCGGAGCATCCCGAGCAGACAGATTCAGTGATCACAGACGATCAACAACTCCCCAGCCCACCGAACGAGTCTCAACATCCGCCTTCAATTGTTGTGTCGGAGCAAGGCGATCCATTATCACAAGATCCCTCGATTGACGGCTCTCCTCACAAATCAACTGATTTGTCGGATTGAGTCAACAACCAACAGCCGATTTAATCTAATGTTTTCTCGATTCCCATTGATGACGCATTGGAGCCAAACCCAAATGGCTTCCATCGCCATCAACACTACTACTACCTACTACAACCGCCCTCGATTGTATAATACCAACTCCTTACTTACACTAGTCTTTGAGCCGCCCTCCTTGATTTGACGAGCCGAGCAGAGCATGGTGTGACGATGATACCTTTCTTTGTTTTCTTTTTTTTTCCCGTTTCATCTTGTCATTATCCATTCGTGTGCAATCATTGTCTCTTTTCTTTTCGTTATCCACTTCTGCATACCCACTTCACATCGACACCCTGTCTCTCCCTTTCCTTGTACATAATCTCTTCCCCCCGTCTTCATCAAAAGCTACCTGCCATGGAAACGTCGCAATGATTGGAGGGCGTATCATTGAATTGCATATTGAGCTTGATGTTCAATATTTTCCTGCCTTCTCGCCTTGTCCTTTACATCCTACTTTCGGAGCGCAGGCGTAATCAAGTTTTACATCTGCTGTGTATCCCAGACCAAAGACGCATTAGATGGGCTGTCATGATGTGTGCTTGTCAGGATCAGGATTTAAATACCCGCCGCTAGTCAGAATCTTTGGTTATCTTCTAATGTTGTTACGTTTGTAGTTCGTACTCGTATTTTTCCCTCTTATCAATCATGTGCGTGTCTTATCGCGAGATAAACGTTCCGAGGTGGAACCAACATTTGAACACTCTCGACATCTACCAATATTTTGTTGGTGTAATCTTGCACATGCGAGCGTCTCGCCGAGTACTACGTTGGGCTTCTCCCTTTAGCTCATCAGCAAGTCAACATTGGCAAACGATATCAACTAAATCCTATATCCGACGTCATGGCTTTCTCTCTGATTCGCCGGGCCCCCAGCGGACTCCCGGACAAGCTCAAGCTTTCTCGTCGACTCGCCTAGCTAGATACATGCTCGATGGAGACGCTACAATATACGCGCTCTCCACCGCGACTGGACGAGCAGCCATTGCAGTTGTGCGCGTATCAGGTCCGGCCTGTGCCTCAGTATGCATTCCGCAAAACAGTACTCAAATCCACCAACCCACCAGAACTAACCACGCAATCCAGATTTACAAAAGCCTCTGTCCAAACCACCCCCTCCCAAAATCACGCTATGCAGCCCTTCGCACTCTCTACGACCCAACCCAACCCCCCACCACAAACACAATCCTCGACGCCGGCGCCCTAGTCCTCTACTTCCCCTCCCCTCGGACTGCAACAGGCGAAGACATCCTTGAACTCCACATCCACGGCGGACCTGCAATAACAAAAGCCGTCCTCTCAGCAATCGCCCAGACAAATACCCCAGATCACACAGTCCGCTACGCCGAACCAGGCGAATTCACCCGTCGCGCCTTCATGAACGACCGTCTCAGTCTGCCTCAGATCGAAGCACTCAGCGACACACTCTCCGCCGATACAGAGCAGCAGCGACGACTAGCCGTGCGCGGCTCGAGCAATGTACTGCTGAACCGCTATGAACAGTGGCGACAGGGTCTGCTGTATGCGCGCGGCGAGCTGGAGGCGTTGATTGATTTCTCTGAGGATCAGCATTTCGACGAGTCGACTGAGGAGCTTGTTTCGTCTGTTGCGAGACAGGTGCGCGCGCTCAGCGTGCAGATCGGTTTCCATATTGCGAATGCGTCGCGCGGGGAGTTGCTGAGGAATGGGATTCGGGTTGCGCTTTTGGGGGCGCCGAATGCGGGGAAGAGTTCGTTGCTTAATCGGGTTGTTGGGAAGGAGGCGGCTATTGTTAGTACTGAGCTGGGGACTACGAGGGATATTGTGGATGTCGGGGTTGATCTCGGGGGATGGTACTGTAAGCTTGGGGATATGGCGGGGATTCGGGCTGAGGGAGGTTCGAGTGATGGTGAGACGGTTGTTATCGGGGCTGTTGAGAAAGAGGGGATTCGTCGGGCTAGAGAGAGGGCGTTGGAGTCTGATGTTGTTATAGTGGTTGTTTCGTTGGAAAACACTGCCACTGGGGTTCGGTTGTTCGTGGAGCCGGAGGTGCTTGGTGCTGTGAATGACTGCGTCGAGGCAGGAAAATGTCTCGTTGTGGCCATTAACAAGTGCGACAAGCTACCCACGGCGTTGGAAAGTGATGTGCCGCAGTCAGTGTCTGATACGATTCACGATCTCTTCCCTTCGGTGCCCGTAGACCGCGTGTTTGCCATTTCTTGCGAGGAAGCCAAGCGAGAAGCGTCTCTCAATACCACGGATCCAGGTAATCTACAGGTCTTTCTACGTGGGCTAATTACGACTTTTGAGCAGATTGCCTCGCCCCTTGGCGTGGATGGAGATGGAAATCAAGATCTTTCGTATTGGGAAGATTCTCTCGGGGTCACCCATCGCCAAAGCTCTAATCTTCAAAGGTGTCTCGATCATCTGCATGACTTTCTATCTCAAGCATCTTCCGCTGAAAGCCCTGATTCCTCGCGCGAGAAAGAACTCGGCTCTCTCGATTTCCATGCTGAATCTGAAGTCGATATCGTCACTGCTGCAGAACATCTGCGCTTTGCGGCTGACATGCTGGCCAAGATCACGGGAAAAGGCGAGAGCGGAGATGTCGAGGATATGTTGGGAGTTATCTTTGAAAAGTAAGTCCTTGGTCTTGGTGTGTTGGTCCCGATGGTAAGCTGACTGTCGTAGATTCTGTGTTGGCAAGTGAAGAGTCTGATGCAAGCGTGGCTCTGATGATGCGGTTGACTTGCAACGCTGTCCCATGATAATTTGTTCAATTCGTTGCTGGCTGCAATTGAGATGGTTGAAACGATTGCTATGCATTGTCCATCATGCACGTTCCGAACAGCCTACTTTTGGCTAGGCAGAATCTTGAGACAGGGTCGATTGGCTGGGGCATTGTACCCTCCTCGACCCATTGCAGGAGATAACATGATGAATGATTGAGGCCGAGAGAACTGCCCTTCGAAGTGGTAGTTGGTAAATGGGAGGCGATGTGTCGAAGAAGTTGCAACAAGCCGATGCAGTTGTAGGAAGAGCAGCTTGATATACTCAGAATGTATAAAATGGTAAACCAAGACTCGCCGAACAGCAACCTGATACTTATAGGAAAGAAACGTCGATCATCAAATTGTCAGCCTTGGTAGGCCTCATTCATTATCATAGGCACCGAGGAATGACCCCCCCCCCCCACTCCCCCCCAAGTTCATCTCCGAAAATTTGACAGAGCCACTACACTCCGATTGTCTTTGTCAAAAACATAGAGCAGTCTGTCAAACGTGATCTGAGACAGGATCTGGATACGGTCTCCGCGAAGTACCTTTGCCATTCAGTGTCTCAGTTCGACCCGATGTGATCCCGAAATCTAGCAACACAGCACGCCCTAAATGATGATATTGAGGCCTGAAGGGCTATTCTTGTCATGAATGCTACGGTAGCATAGAGAATGCCAATGCTATAGCTAGTTTCAGCTGTATTCCTGTAGAAAGCCGAGCTTGAGGTTGAAACATACTTGTCGATCAGTGTCATTACGCACCTTTTTAGAGATTTCCATCTTTTTGTCTTTTCTTTTTTTTGATTCGTTTCCTCCTGGGTATTTCCTTTCCTTTGCTATTCGATGAAGATATATTGTTGGTTCAAATGTTCCAATTCCAAACTCATGTCAGATCTAAGAATAGTGAGCTGCTTGGAGAATTCCTTCTAGAAGGATTTCAAATCCAAAATAGAACGTAAGTAACCAAAAAAGGGAGAGAAAATGCCCGGAAGATCAAAAATAAGAAACCCACGTTGTGCTCCTGCAGAACTCACAACGTCCTATTACCCTGTCCTCGGGGCTGACAAGCCCCGTGCAGCCTTGGACAAGATTGTGACTGGCCTGTTTCGACCCTGATATTGGCTGCGAATACCAAAAATAACAGATTCCTAGACTAAAATAAGCCGATAGTCTGGGAGTGAGGTGTTGAGTATAGGCTGGATAATAACCGATGTCTGTGCAGTGTGGGATATGCTATGAATAGCTTCATCCCTGTCTGTCCATCTGGCTTGCAAGATCTGTTGAGCTTTCTTTGGTGATACGTCCTGTTTGGGCCTTTGTCTAACCCTTGACGTTATTTTGCGTTTCTCTTTTTTTTTCTTACCTTGCATTATTCCTGTTGTCTTTTTCACATCAGCCTTTCATCTGATGTTCGAACACTTGCCTAAGACTTTGACAACCACACCGAAGATACAGAATCTCCTTTTGTAGAGTGCTATCCCAATAGAAAATCCTGACATGTAAATCTGAACTGGACGAGTTTTTTTATAACCTTGGTATTAGTTGGCGAAGAAGCAAACCACCATGCCTCACCTCACTGTAGCCCACTTCTTCCGCCGAACAGATAGGGAACCACATCTGATATCTCCTTTGCCTCGCCGAACCTGAATAAGATACTCCTCCAAGCCCTCCCACCATCCCACGCAGCCCATCCCAGGTTGGCAGGTTAACATCAAGATTCATAGCAAAGAAAACTTAATAGCTGACGTAGTCCGAGCCAGGACACTCATAGTACTCAACATAAAAGTTGCGGAGAGCCCCCAGGCACTCCGAGGAGTTGAGCAAGTACGAGCAGGAAGGACTGTTTTCGACGTGATAGTAGAGGTGAGAGACCTGAGGGAACTGAGTCCGGCATTGATAGCAATAGAACGGGTTTTGGTCGGTAAGGTTATTGCCGTAGAAACCGTACTCCGGTGTCTCAAAGGCAAGAGTGCGAATGCGGTCTCGCTTCACACAGCGACCTTCTTCGAGGTGGTACAGCAGGCCCGAGAAACCAACCCAGTTGCTTGGACAGAACCAGCATTCGTAAATGGAAAGACCTAGAGGGTTGTTGTGGTCTTGTCGGGCTGCAGGGTGCTGGTACATGGTGATGGAGCGTAGAGATGTGATTGTGGATGATAGGAGGTGAACTGGTTGATGGAAGATGGATGGAAGATGGAAAGGAAGAGGAAGAGGAAGAGGGTGATTTGTACTCGTTTGATTGCATACGTTCCCTTTTGGGACTTGTCTTGACTACGTCTCTTATGTCCCTCACAACACGTCCCAGTGGCCATTGTGATTGTACCACTGGCTGCTTCTTTTCTTTAAATCACTACCAGCCCTAGCATCTTTAAGGCTGGTGTTAGATCCAGGTGCACCAAACTTATATCCCTTTGGTATCTTAGATGGAGTACAATGTTAGATATTCGGCCACAAAATAGTTGGACCCCTTCATGGGGAGAGCTAGGGCCCAAGCTAAGAAAAAAAAATGCCCTTTGACCAGGTTGAGTGCGATCTATCGCCCGATCCCTATCCCAGCAGTGACCACTGTTCCTAAAGGGTTGACTCTACACTGGATCCATGGGCGAAGTGGTTATACAGAAGGGGTCTGAAATCAGATATGGATGGCTCTGATTATAAAGGTAGTCCAAACAGGCCACTTTGCTATTTACTCGAGGTCAACAGATCTATCGTGAGATATCCTTCACACAAACCCTACTTGTAGATGGTATTCTTCAGAGCCTCCCAGCCTGCAAGCGCAGTAGATCGGACCTGTCCGATCACAGGGCCACGAAACCGCCACGCAAAATGACCAGCCATCCACGTCGATCCCACAACCGCAGCTAGAGCCAATCCACTGACAGCATAAAGATCCCAGTTCTTGGCTTTAAATGCCGAAATACGCATATCTGCCGTCTGCAAGTGCATCGGGCGCAATTCCGTGCCGTCTTTGAACCGTAACTCATTGTCGTACATGAGCTCCTCGATCAGATCGGCTGCATGGTACTTGCGACGACTCGCCACATGAGCAATGCGCTGCAGACGTAGCACATTCTGACTGTATGTCTCGTTTTCGGATTTGAGAATCTTCTTGGCTTTCTCGTAGACCTCATCTGATGTAAAGCCCAACTTGCTTAATGACTCGGCCACACCTCCTGCGACGAGCCGGGCGGTGTTGGCGATCTGGTCGGAAAAGATACCCATTGATAACATTGGCTTTCCGTGGTACAGGCCCTCATTGGCACTGGATCCTCCGCCGTGAGTGAAATAGAGCTTGGTTGACTCGCTGTCGAGGACAGCACGTTGAGGTGCGAAAAATGGGAAGACCCAATCCGGATGTTTGTTGTCGAGTAGATCCCCCAGGGTAATTTCTTTGGCATCGCCGGGGTTGACAGGGAAGGATGCGCTAGCAATTTTTTGAGCTGTCAGTGAAGAGGACAGATTTATTCTCATCAATGGTAGGTTCGTACCTGCGATCAAGGTCTGCTCGACATGTCTTACCCATAGCCCAGATCACACCGTCGATGAGGCCATCCTCCTGGAGACGATTTGCAGCCTGGATGATCTTGGCAGCATCCTTATGTGGCAGGATGATGTGAGTCCCAAGGGCGATATAAAGGACTGATTGATGCGTGGCCAAGAATGCCCCACACTCCGGGTCTAGTGGCGGGTAAGTCGGACTGAGGAGAGGACCCACTGGGGCAGCGGTAGGAGGTAGATCGCGTGGGATCTCCAGCCCAAAGAAGGAATTGACCAAGATGAGATAGTCTGGTTTGCTGGGTTTGTGAGGCGGATAACAGACGCCATTGTCACTTCGGAGCTTCTGGCTCCATTTGCTGGCACGGATGATGGCTGGAAGATCCGGGAAGAAGAAGACCTCGTTCATCATACGTAGCCACATCGGAGTATCCTCGGATGTCAGGGTCCCTGGAAGTTGGAATCCGGGCTTGCCTGGGATATACGAACAGGGTAATTGGAATGCAGGCATATTGGGACAAACAACCGCGATCGGTAACTTGTACTCAAAGTGAATATCGTTGGCTGCCTCGACAAAGAAATCGGCAACTATCATGTCCGGTCGAGTCGCGGGGTCCTCCATGATCTCTTTGAGACGATGATAGGTTTGTGGCCAGAAAGAGTCGAACAGGTATTTGGATCCCATAGCTTGTCCGATACCCTTGGAGATATCCCATGCCTGCATACGCCGATAGTGACCATCGAGTTGGTCGGGGGTTGGTCCGGGACCCAACTGATGAAGCTTGTTGACAAAGTCATAGTCAGGTTTCACCCAGCTCTCTTGTCCTTGGAGTGTCGCAAATTCGATTTCGTGGCCACGTTCCGCCAGTACCCGACCGATTTCCAAAACAGGAGCTGTGTAGATTCTTTTTAGTCCTGTCCCGTGCCAGCTATGCTCTGCACTTACCGGCATGTGTGAATCCCCCGGTGGTAACCACCAGCAAAATCTTTCGAGATGGGTGCACTTGGGACTGACTCATTGTGAGAGACTGCATGTTTCAACGGTTGTCAAAAGGTGGAAAAGGGCGAAGCCACTACCTGAAATCCCCGCGGAATTGGCCCCCAACAGAGAACATCCCTGTCACGGAGTTCGGGGATTTGTTTTGTTTTGTTTTGTTTTTTTTTTTTTTTCTAAAATCAATCCCGCCGAGTCGATTCTTGAGAATGTTGTAGAGGTTGGGGGGGGGGGAAAGACTACTGTTTCTTGATTTTCGTAACGCAGCCTCTAGTCTATGTAACAATTCTAAAAGCTTCATTCTAAATAAGAGTCACTGTAGAGTGAAGAGGCAAATTCCGAGAGCTGAACCCAACGCTGATGTGAATCTCTCCACTGGGAATGCACCAATCCTGAGCCTGAATATCCCAGTAACTGAGATCACGGCGTGTGAGATTAAAAGGCACTTTCTTGCTCTCGCCGGGGCTCAAAGGTACTTTCTCGAAACCACGAAGTACTCGAATCGGAGTACCGGAAGGAACACTACCACGCGAGAAAGAGACGTAGAGCTGGATGACGGCTGCTCCTCCCCGAGAACCGGTGTTCTTGACACGTGTTGAAGCATGTACCAGTGTCTTCCACAGGTTCGGATTGCCCCCCAAGGCCAGTGTGGAAAGATCGGCTGCAGGAGGAGTGGTCGAGAGATTGTCGTGGCTAGCAGATGGGCTCAATGTGATAGAAATCGGAGAATCCAGAGCGAAAGTGGTGTAGCTGAGTCCAAAACCAAACTCGTAGAGTGGAGTAATCTCCTGATCGTCGAAGTGACGATAGTCAATGAAGAGACCTTCGGTGAAGTTACTTTGCCAAGCCCATTCTTTAGTCGCATCGGGCCCAGTGACATTCACAATGGGGCCGTTGTAATCTGTGGCATTCCTAGCAACTGTGTATGGGAGTCGGCCTGACGGGTTAACGTCTCCCCAAAGCACATCGGCGATTGAGTTACCACTCTCCTCCCCAGGGTAATGGGCCGCAAGGATAGCCACCACGTCAGGATTAGATGCCCATGGCATCACATTCGGACACCCGGAATGGGTAATCACAACGGTGCGTTTCGGGCATAGGTTCGTGACAGCTTCTACCAACTGAGTGGAGTCACCGTCGGCCTCAAGGTCCGTTCGATCGACCCCTTCAGTTTCCCAAGTCTTCAAGAACACCAGGCAAACTTCGGGCCAAGGATAGAGTGTAGTCTGTTCGCCACTGGTGAGGACTGTAGTGTTGGTGATGTACTGGACCTGTGCCCCGATCTTTCTAGCCCGAGTTTTGATTGCCTCTAGTGGGGGAACGATGAAACTGGTGCGGCCGCCTCCAGATCCACCCCCGATGATGAGGGTTCCAACGTTGTACCCAGCGTTTGGATAGAGAGCGCCGGTGGTTATATCGGCTGCATCCTCCCCAAACACACCGATATTGCGAGGCGATTTCAAGGGAAGGGTGTTGTTGACATTCTTCAATAACACTGTCCCGGCTGAGCCCATGGTCCGGATCAAGGCCGAGTGATTGCCCCGAACATCGCGTCCAGCAGGAGTAGCTGTGCCAGGGCTTAATAAGTGCACACCTGTTAGGACGCCAAAATTTTCCAGCGTGAGCAGCTCTGACGATGGATCAATGCTTGGATAACTGGTGTGGTTTTGACCAAAATACAAATACGGAGTCAAGATACGCTGAACCATATCGTTGAGACGCGCCTCAGGAACTGATCCGTTTTGCACCGCTGTGACCAGGTTAGGTCCCCAGTATGTCTCGTTCAACTGGGTCCCCGAAATGGGCCCTGGCTGGTTCATATCCATCCCGGCCATGGCAGAGTCAACGCCAGACATGGCGCCCATAAAGTCGGACGTGACCCAGCCTTCAAACCCTAGCTCTGTCTTTAAGAGATCGTTTAAGACCTGTTTGTTTTGACAGCTGTATGTACCGTTGACTCGATTATAGGCGCAAGTCACACTCGCAACGCCCGCATGAACAGCATCCGCAAATGGCCACAGATATAACTCGTGCATGGTTCGATCGTCGATGTTGGAAGAGACTGCAGCAACCATCTGGCCATCAATCTCGGTCGCTTTCCGTTGCGTTTCTTGTTCGTTGCCAATGATGTGCTTCGCATTGGCTTGAACACCCTGACTCTGCACGCCACGGATCGTGTGGTCCATAGCCACGCCAGTTAGGTAAGGGTCCGGAGAAAAGCCTTCCCAGTTTCGGCCACCAAGAGCACTGCGACCCAATGGGCCGCCGACAGGACTTTTTACGATTTGTTAGCACCGTCAGCTTCGCTAGGGTTTGGGTCTGATCACCTACCCAAGCATAACATGCGCACCCTTTCCTCGGAACTCGGCACCCATTGCACTCCCTCGTTGGTAAATCATCTCCTTATCCCAGGTCGCCGCCATGGTGAGTCCAGATGGAAAAATACTAGCCAAACTAGCAATTCGAATCGCAGCAGGTCCATCGTGAATACAAAGTCCGCCAAATCCAACGCTTTCTACGGGTGCAACATAGGCTATGCATGTCCCGGTTAACGAGCCTGTAACAATCGCAACCTTCTCGGTCATATTCATTTGGTTAATCCATGTTTGTGCATCGTGCTTACACTTGAACCACTTTTTTGAATCCAACCCAACATCTGTATATTTCCAAGTGAGGGCCAGGTTAGCATAACGAGATCATTGGCCTTAGGGGTCATCAGATCCGACGCACTGGAAGATAGCTCTGAGGCAATGGCCATTTGCGCCAACAGTGGAATCACTCTGAACCAGAACATCCTATGGCAATGTTGATCCAATGTTGCTTTAGGGTATGATACAAATCACGACCACCCATCCTTCCTATTTTCTTTTCTATCTCTTCTCAAGCGCTAATCGGCTGCCCGGGGGTTAATTTCCTGGCTCGATCCTCTCGGCGGTTTTTCTTTTGGGGCCATTCATCTGGATGAGCTATGATGCTCAGATTCCTCGGCGAGATCTCACAGACCCTTGCTTGTTACGACCCTCCCCCCCCCCCCCCCCCCCACCACTTGACTTGGGGCTTATGCCCGTTCTCGTCCGATCATGTCGAATCTCGCAAAGATGACGTGGGCCTACGCAGAATTTTGGGGGTAAGAGATGGCTCCAACTTTTATTGGGTTTGAGAAGCGCTTCATCAATTGGCCCGGACAGATAATTTCTGGCCAGTACGGAGTAGATGTAGATTAAACTGGGAAGCGGTTTAGGGGGGGGGGGGGGACGTATCAACAGGCGGGCCCACTGTATCAGATAGGAAGGCGGTAACAGTCAACATAAAACACCCGTTTCTTCCGGACAAAAACCATCAACCAATCAAATCTCCTGACCTATCGCTACGGAGTACGGAGTAGTCATTCCTTCGATTCTTTCTGCCTCTAACCTCAAGTGTCCCAATGGTCTCCACCTTTTCGTCGTATGGATGCGTCTGATGTATCCAATTGGTTAATAAGTCAGGGATCTCCAGAGCTGACTGCCCGTTGGGCTCAGTTGGGATGAATATATCCACATCTGCAGAGAGTTAAGCCTTGGAAACCTTGCAAGTCTTGGTCGGCATTTAGCTAACTGCCGATATGAACTTGAACGGATCTATGATGGGATTATCTGAGAACGCTCATTACCCCCAAAGCTGGAAATAGAACGTGGGTCAGAGCCCACATGGGCTTTGACGAATACGCATAGCAACGGCCCCCATTGGGGCCAAAAGCCTCCCAAATTCCATTGGGCAATGCAATAGAGGGCGACTGATGATGATAGTCAACTGAGTTACATTCAGAAATATCACTCCAAGCCATCTTTCAATGGAATAAATACGGAGTACTGGCCTGCCAGATCCGCTTTAGAATGACCCATCCTGCCTCAACCCTGTGTCTATCAGAATCCGAAATCCGAGCTCCATCCAATTCTCCATCTCAACTGTTATGGAGACCTCCCAATGGAAAGCACCGCTCCAGAAACGAATAGCCTGCGATCGATGTCATACTCGGAAATTACGGTGCTTGCGGGAGACCTCCACTTCGAAATGCAGTCGATGTATCCAGGACGGCTGCGTCTGCACGTCTAGTCCACCACTAAAGTCGGGACGACCAAAGAAGGCTCGCCCACCGGTCTTTGATCACTTTGATCTCGATGCAATGCACCATGCTGTCGACCAATCCCAAACCCCACTGGGCTCGAAGAGTACGAATCAACTCTGCTTGACTAGCAGCGATGGAGGAGACATGACCTCTCCTCCCTCATTTCTGTCAGACATGCTCCCAAACTCGGAAGCCGAGGATTCTGGCCCTAGTATGGATATCTCGGATGTCAGTTCATTCTTTGATCCTGGATCTGCGGCTATGGACTTCTCTAATGAAATGCCTACATCATCCGCCACCACTTCCGACAATGCGCTTTGGTCCGATTTCCTTCAAACAGACGCACAGTCCGCATCCACCGATCTTCCAACGTATCCTTCCGACCCGCAAATTTACAATCATCTCCTTGGAGGCCTCAAAACACCCCCTGCGGATGATGACACTGGTCGCGATGTGCTCTGGACTTCGGGTGACGCGGGTACGCACCAGAACATCTCTCAGCAGTCCAATTTATTGAGCCAAATAGCATCTAGCAATTTTGAAATACACACCCACAAAGTCATTGTCGACAAGAGCGATAAAATTCGGTCGGGATTACTAGAAAAATTATCTCAATTACAACATGAGTTGGTCCAATCTACGAAGGCTGATACAACTAATGACGGTATCCCATCAAGAACTGGGGGGTCAAGCGCATGCAACAATGGAAAGAATCATTCGCTAAAGCACCCCGTTAATTTGATCTTGAAGCCTGGTCAAGAGCTCATAGATACCATTCGCAATTTACTTGCTAAATGTGAAGAGAGAGTACCGGAGCAGACAGAACGCTGCTTCGACCACGCTACGCTTGTGCTTTTCGTGATCACTCCACTGTCTCTTCTGCTTCGCACTTATGAGCGGCTATTAAAAGAGATTTCATCCGTCCTATGTTCATGGTCTTCACACTATCCCAATGGAAGTATAACCACTGCCTCAGATGATGCACCCCACTTGTCGCATGCACATCACCAAACGACACAGCAGAACGGTCCTTTCCACCAGTCTCATCAAGAACCCCCCCGGGACATCCACCCGGGATCTTATCCCATGCTTCTTGCTGATCACCTGAGTTTGAACCTGGGTGAAATGAATCTGGACCACCAAACGCAACTTTTTGTTGTGGCTACGGTCATAAACCGTCACTTAATCTACCTGGAATCTGCACTACATCAATATCAAAGTCAGCGCATCGATGGTAGGGTCACGAAAAACATATCCGAGAGGCTCTTTAATACCCTGATGTCGGAAATGAGAGCCTCAATCAAGCTTCTTAAATCAGAAGCCAGAGATCTGCTTTGTAACATCTGACAATTGGCTTGTGCTTTTAACTTGTTCTTGATTTACCAAACACTCTCTGATTGGGGAAATGAGAAGACTATTCGCAGACTGATCGACGAGTACGGTTCTTTGATCTAACAATTAACTACTCCCTGAATGACCACTGTACGAAAGATTGCCATGAATAGATGAGTAATTACAGATGGTCACCTGGAAATTAGTGAAGTAGTCGACCTTATTCCTTGGATCCATCAGCGAAACCACTTTGCTCGGCAACCTTGAAGGCAAGACTCTGCAAGCTAGATGCCTGCAAGATTTCAAAGACAGGGAAGTCCACCTTCATATCCTTTTGGAACCAGTTGCGTAATTCAACGGCAATAAGACTGTCGATACCAAAGGCGCTGGTTGGACGGTGGGGATCCAACTCAGCCATGTCTATCATCAGGTTGCGGCTGAGCTTCGCCCGGATAGCTTCCAGAACGATGCCGGAAGCATCAGTAAAGTTGTCAACTTCTTTCAGCAGAGAAAGCGTAGATCGCGTATTTTGATCCTTTGAGCCGCTCGAGGACAATATGTCTAGCTTGGAAAGGTGCGAGAAAATCGGGTTCGACATCCAAAAGACCTCACTTCCACCTTCGCTGGCATCCATGCCAGCGATGATAACCGACGTATGCTCTTTCTGAATACCCTGGATGACTAGCCCCATGCTGGCAAGTAGTTCGGCTTCGGTGACACCAACATACCCCTTTCGCTTCAGGTTGCGCAATTTTACTCCGCTTTCCTCCTCCGCTACTGCACCAACATCAATCATAAGACCCAGATCAATGGCGGTGGCGGGCCGTCCAATGGACCGTAGGTAGCTTGCCAAAGCATCCTGGTAAGTATTGCCGGCGCTATAGTTTGCCTGCCCAGGGTTGCCAAGGACTCCAACCGCAGAGGATAGGATCACAAAGAAGTCCACTGGCTGACCGATGGTAGCTTCGTGGAGATTCCAGGTCCCATCAACCTTGGGGCGAATAGCATGGTTAAAGCTGTCTAGTGACATGTTTTCGAAGATCTGATCGTCCAAAACCATAGCAGCTTGGATCATGCCACGGATTGGTGGCATGTATGTAGCGATTCGCTGCAGCTCCGATTTCAAGGCCTGGCCATCAGTAACATCCACAGAAAGAGGCTCAACGCGCACTTTGAGTTCCTCGAGTTCCTCAATAAGCTGCTTCATAGCGGGTCGCTTGGCCCCGGATCTGGAGGCAAAAATCAGGTTTTTAGCGCCGTGCTCAGCTAGCCAGCGGGCAAGACTTTGGCCAATACCCCCAAACCCAGCAATCAGATATGATGCATCTGGGGACAGAGTGAGAGGACGGGGAGCCACGGGATAGGCCTGCAAATTTAAGTCAGTTCAGTGGTTTGTACTCAAGCGAGACCAAAAAAAAAAGACCAAAGGAACTCACCGGGACAATGTCATTCTCATTTGGCACCGCAACGACCTTTCCGACGTGTTTGCCGGCTTGCATGAAACGGAATGCCTCTTCAATTTGGGAGAAATTGAAGGTCTTCACCGATTGGATAGGGCGCAACTTCTTGGATCGGATCAAGTCCATGGCCTCAGCCAGGAGTCTAGATGCAAGGGGCACATTGCACCAGCGCACTGTGTTCAGGTCAAGTGCATGGAAGCTGACGTTGCGAACGAACGGAGCCATATTCAGAAGACGGTTCTCAATGATGTCTTTTTTACCAATCTCAATGAAGCGGCCAAACATTGCAATGCAGCTCCAGGTGGCACTGAGAGCCTCACCGGCCAGACTGTTCAGCACAACATCAACACCACGTCCACCAGTTGCCTCGTTGATCTGGCGTGCAAAGCTGAGATCACGGCTGTTGAAGATGTGGTCATCGGGGATACCGAACTCACGATGTACAAGGTCCCGTTTCGCCTGAGTCCCCACTGTCACAAAGACATTGGCACCTACCATTTGAGCATACATGATGGCAGCTTGGCCAACGCCGCCACTAGCTGCGTGAATAAGCACCGACTCGCCCTTGGATAGGTGAGCCATGTCTGAAAACCCATATACAACGGTGGCAAAGACAATGGGAATAGCAGCAGCAACCTCGAAACTCATATCGTCTGGGATACGTTGCATCACTCGGGCATCGTTGCGCAGATAGTTACAGTAAGTGTTGCGACTCCAGACGGTAACTCGATCGCCAATTTTGACATTGTCGACCTCACTACCAATGCGAGTGACAATCCCGGAGCATTCAAAGCCCAATGCATTGTCAGTCATTTGGCCGGAGCTGATCATGATGTCTCGGAAGTTGACACCGGATGCCTTGACCTCTACCTCTGCATCGTGAGGAGCCAGAGGCTCATCAAGGCGGGTGTCGTCCTCAAACACCAAGGTATCGAGCAGACCGGGAGTCTTGATATTGAGCTTCAATGGACGGCCCGTCTGATAGAAAGGCTGTTGTTCGATTTTCCGGTGCTGCGCTGCATCTCCCGAGACACTGTCATGAATCATACGATTGACTTCCGGCACTCCGATGACTCGGTTGATCTGCCAGCAACCATGCTCGAACCAAAACTCGCATTCCCGAGACTGAGGGTTCCTTAACAAGAACTCGAACAAACCAAGCACATTGCTTGCAGCATCCTCAGGCTCTTGACGGTCAATCTTTGCGAAATCGGCGGTGATCAACTTGTGACTCTCATACTCCGTACGCAAAGTACGTGCAAGTCCATGGAAGAGCGCACGGTTAGGATTTTTGGAAGTACCATTCGCTCCTTCGGATATCCACAGCAGGGCTTTGCCTGTTCGCAGGTGCTGCAATGAATCAAATTCAGCTTGATTCAGATCACAAATGATTGCGCGGTCGAGCTCAGCAATTGAGATGGAGAATGTATTTTCAAGGGGGGTTTCCGCAATGCGAGAGAGCGGGACTGTTTGTACAGCAAGACCCATCTTATTCACTCGTTGCTCAATCGTCTTCATCAGAGCCTCGGATGAGTCGGAGACAACATCATCGGTTATGATGATAACTGAGCTGACTTCCGGGTCTTGTGTTTCCTCAATCGCAGGGTCGATAGCGACGCACGACCACACACGACCTATCTCGTCCTGAGCATCCAAATTATTTGGAGCTCCTAAAGTGAAATCACCAAACCCATGACGCTTCAAAACCGCTCCCCACAAATCCTCCCCCATGGTAGGGCCCCATTTGCGATAGCTTTCCTCTGACATCCACCAGCCAGGAGTGCAGCCGAAAGGCAAGAAGACTTGGTTCAGTGGGTTTGAAATCTCGACCATGATAAGACGACCACCTGGCTTCAAGAGCTTGCGAGTGTTCTCGACTGTCTTGTCAATGTTTGCGGTAGCGTGAAGGACGAGGGCAGCAACGACCAGGTCGTACTGTTTCTCGAAGCCTTGCTCGACAGGGTCTTCTTCGATGTTGAGGCGACGGAAGTCCATCAAGGCTTCCCAGTCTTTGAACTTTGTCTGAGCTTGTTCAAAAAACCCAGATGAGATATCGGTGAAGGTATACGACTTGAAGCGAGGGTAGCGTCCCTTGTTGCCTCCCATAGCATCCAGAATACTCTCTGTGGCACCACCTGTACCTGCCCCTATCTCCAGAACTTCCATATCGGGGTTCTTGTTGGAGAGCAGGGTGGCATATTGGTGAAGAGTGGTTGTTGGGATCATGCGGCCATAGTACTGATACAACCGGTCATCTTCTAGCATGATAGCCAGTGGGTCAGCTTCACTTAACAAGATCTTGTCCAGCTGCCGTCCAACGCGGCAAAGAATCTCGGAGTCCACATCGGTTGGCTGCAGACGTTCAGCTAGTGCCTCCATCTTTGCGACAATGAGAGGGTCGTCGAGTTGTTGCCATTCGGCAGTCTGGTGGGGGAGCTGATGAGCCATCACCAAATCACGTTGGTGCTGCAGATACTCGTAGAACTTGCGGAAGTGAGGCTTCAGGGTGGATACCTGCTCTTCACGGATACTTTGGAGTGCTTTGTAGTAGAAGTAGTAGGCGATAGCTTCCAGATCAGAAACACGAGATGAGTTCTCAACCGGAGGGAGAGATTGACACATCATGCGGTCGGTCAATTCGCGAGGCATCAAAATAGGATCAGGCTTCCAAGTCGAGTGGAAGCAGAGCTTACGAAGAGAAGCATTCTCATCCTGACTTTCGGCGGATGCGGTATCAAGTCTGCTACAACCCATGCCTTTAAACCCAGCGACTGGTTTACCCGTAGTCTCATCGGTAACTAGTACCTCAGTCTTCAATTCTCGACGACCACTGGGAACTGCAGTAGTAGCACACTTGAAAGTACTCCCAGGTCCTTGCGCGACGTCTGTTGAGATGAAAAGCTCCTCAAAAGACACAGGGACAAAGGCAGCTGGGCAGGCATTTTTTCCATGCAAGAAAGCCGGGAATATCATTTGAACGAAAGCATCCATGGTAGCAGGATGAATGAGGTGGGGGTATTCATAGTCATGAGGCATCAATTCCTTGGTATTAGGTACTGCAATGGCACCCTGAGCCTCGCCGGGGTTGGACTTGAGCTCGCCAATCATGTTCCGGAAAGGGTGTTCGAAGTTCAGTCCCACTTCATCCATCATTTTGTACATATTCTCAGCTGAGCAGGATCCTGAAAGGTTGGCCGCAGCCATAACTCTCTCCAATTCGGGTAGGTAGGGCAAGTTGTTTTTTGGTGCAGCTGGGTTCACTTCGTGAACAGCAGAAATCAATCCGTGGGCATGCTCTAGCCAGATCCCAGAGTTGTATGAGAAGATACGAAACTCGTACCAGATATTGGAGAATGTTGAGCTACTTTCTTTGTAGTGACGCATAGAGAATAGTGTCTCCACCATCTCATCGTTGGATGGGATCACCAATGCACGGCTGATCTTGATGTCCTTCAGGCGGTATCCAACCAACTCTCCAGCCGGGGTAACGTACTCAGGGAAGTCCTTCATGTGATGCATCGCCTCGATAGCCATGCAAATATAGCCCATTCCTGGGTAGATGTAAGACCCCTGGACGCTATGTCCCTTAATCCAAGGTTGCTCCCGAAGCCTAAGCAAATTCCTCCAACGCGGCTCCATGGGGTTCCAATCACTGACAGGGTATCCAAGTAAATCTGTTCGTGCGTGACGACGGAATCGGTGCTCCAAAGCCAGACGAGACTCGTGCCAATGACGTTTGCGATGGTTCCAGAAATAAGCAGGGAGGTCGACAATCACCTGGGGCTTTGCAATGTTGTCTGGATCGTTGATCTTGGAAAGTTTCACGGGTAGACCCTTGGCAAAGAGAAATGCTGCGGCTTGTAGGGAAGTCTCACAGGCATCTTGTCCGCGTGAAAGAACGGACTGGTAACTGATCTCAGCCTTTTCCAGCGCAGCGACACGAAGGATCTGCTTCACGGGGCCAGCGAGAGCGGCGTGAGGGCCGATCTCCAGAAGTATGTCGACGGTTACCCCTGCACGACGGCGTGCTCTCTTAGCATTGGGTTGAGAAGTACAGAGGGACTGTAGGCCATCGTTGAAGCGAACACAAGACACCATGTTCTTGCGCCAGTACTCGGGCCCCAGGACATCAGTGGCCGTCACAAGAGCTCCAGTCACAGTGGAAAACATTTCGATATCCGAGACAGGGTCAACTCTCATATCCGCAATGGATTGCGCGTAGTCGTCCGCAACCAGGTCCATGTGGTGTGAGTGGTACGCGGTGCTGACCTTGAGGGACCGGGCGAAGATTCCCTCATCGTGTAACGACTGACTAAGATTGTGCAGCGCAAGGCGATCTCCAGAGATAGTGACACTGGTGGGACTATTGATACAAGCCACAACTGCCTTTCCAGTAGATGGGTCCAGTGCGGCAATCTTCTTCTTGGCCTCTTCCTCCGAAAGTCCGACGGCCATCATACCTCCATTGGCGGACAGCAGGTCCTTTGCAGACGAGTACACACCACGAAAGTATGCAGCTTTAATAGCAGACTCCGCTGGTAAGATACCAGCAGCATAAGCCGCGGCAATCTCACCACTAGAGTGCCCAATGACTTTGTGAGGGCGGATACCCCAACTAGCAAGAAGATCAACGAGAGCCATCTGCACGACCGTGCACAGAGTTTGGCTGAAGAGAGATTCGTTGATACGTGACTCCTTCTCGTTTTTCTCCAGCTCCTCTATCACGGACCACTCTGCACCCAGCTTCGTGATGAACAGATCTGATTCCAGAATGCGGGAATGGAAAACAGAGTATCGACTGAGCTCACGACCCATAGCATGCCACTGCGCTCCTTGGCCGGTGAAAACGAATCCTAGCCTTTGGGCTTTGGTTGGTGCCCGGACAGGCTTCTGGTGGGTGTTCAGGATCTTGTCTTTCAAATCAGATATGGAGTTTGCGACGAGAAATGATCGCCATTCCAGTAAAGATCGGCGGGCACATTGTGTGTATGCCAGATTGTCCAAGAAAGCTTCTTCGTCGGTGATCTGACGCTCAGTAAGGTGCTTGGCGTAAGCGGTATTGTTTAGGGCCCCGATGCTCTCTTCGTGAGTTGACCACATGAAGATACGGTAGCGTTCATTTGCTTCAATTACATGGCTGGTGAGGCTATCGGAAAGGCTGTTGCTAACCCTGCTTTGCTTGCTCATGAAGCCGTTTCCTCGGAGCGTGAGGGCTCCGCGACTCTCATTTCCGCTGGCGATAGTACGATTGACGTCCAGGAAAGCCTTTGGAGAGGTTCTATGGCCAGCTCGCAGGCCACGGCTGAGGAGGTAATGGTAAGCATCGTCAATAATGACATGACTGTTGGATCCACCGAAGCCGAACGAATTTACACTTGCGCGACGTTGGCCTTCACGCGGCCAAGGAATCACTTCCGTAGGGACCTCGAGATTCCATCCTTCAAGGTCAATCTTCGGATTCGGCGATCCAAAGCGGATATTGGGAGGAATTGAACCTCGCTCAAGAGCCATCACAGCTTTGATGAGACCAGCTAGACCACTAGCACCCTCTGTATGGCCAATGTTTGTCTTTACACTGCCCACGTACAAGGGTATCTTCTTCCCTTTCTTATCCAGAGGACGAGTCTTCCCCAACGTAGCGCCTATAGCGCTGGATCTAGAACAAGTCGGTCAATCTACATAACTTACAGATCCATGCCACTTTGAAACTTACTCAATTGGATCACCGGCCTGGGTTCCTGTGCCATGGGCCTCGAAATAATCGGTTTGGTCAAATTCAAGGCCAGCGTCACGGTATGCCGTTCGGATAAGTTCCTCTTGAGCCTCCGGAGATGGCTGCGTAATACCAAAAGTTCTTCCATCCTGGTTGCAGGCGCTGCCTCTCACCACCGCACGAATGGAGTCATTATCACGAATTGCATCTTCAAGTGGCTTGAGAATCAAAGCGGTAACTGCCTCACCACGCGCATAGCCATTTGCACGATTATCATAGCTGTAACATATTGAATCCGGACTGAGAAAATGCAGATTCGACATGGTCGAAAAGATATCCGGCATAAACATCAGATTGGTGGCACCGACCACGGCTTGTTTGCTTTCACCGGCACGCAGACTTTGACAAGCCAGATGCATGGCAATCAAACCACTGCTGCAAGCGGTGTCCATGGTCAGACTTGGACCTTTGAGGTTGTAGAAGTAACTGATGCGGTTGGATAAGATTGATGATGAGTTACCGGTGGAGGAGTGAATTGGTGCAATGTCCGCATCGCGATCGCCCATATCATAGTAATCGTGGGAGAAGCAACCCACGTAACAGCTTGTCATGGTATTTGCGACATTCTCGAGTGTCATACCACCACTTTCCATGGCCTCGTAGACAGTTTCTAGGAGAAGTCGCTGCTGGGGGTCCATACTTTTTGCTTCAGTGGGCGAAATTGAAAAGAACGAGGCATCGAAAGCCCCAAGGTCCTGTTTCAAGAAATGTCCTCCTCGAGCATTCATCTTGATTTCGTTAGTTCGGACGATCTTTGAAAGGTTTCTGACCAAAAACATACATTTCCGGCTCGTTCGGCGTCTGGATGATAAAAAGCATCAACATTCATTCGATCCTTGGGGATCTCGCTCCAAGCTGCTTGCTTTTCAGCCACGAGCTTCCAGAGCTTATCGGGACTGGTAGCATCTCCAGGAAAGCGACAAGCCATGCCCACAATAGCAATTGGCATGGACTTGTCTTGTTGCAGAATACTCCGAATCAGAGCATCCGGCTGGCGGTAATCGGCATCGTTCACAAAAGGCATCTTGATGAGTATTGTGCTTTAGGGAATAACTTCATGGAGGCCTTTTATATGAAACCCTGTACTCGGATATTTTCGTGCCTCCCGGCAGGTTTCGCGGCGGATTCGTCTGAATCTTCCGAGCGGCGGGATATGCTTGGGGGCCGATGAAGATCATCGAAGTTTTGAATTTTGTTTCATCGTAGAACTCCCCGAGTCTCGGTAGGACTTGCTGACCATAATACTCCGTTTTAAGGGGGGTTTGATAGCCAAGTAACTTGGCTTGCAACCATACCTCACCAAAAATGAGATTCATCTGCCTACATGGGGCTGGCACCAATTCTCATGTTCGTATAATTCTTCTCCATTTTTGATGAGTTGAAGAGCTTACAGAAAGTCCATTGTGCTAGGTCCTCGACATTCAAACTGGTTCGGCGGTATCATCCATCCCGGAAACCCTTGTCACTAACACGAACATATAGGACCAATCCGTCAAGCATTGGGTTCAAATGAAAAGTTCGAATTCGTGAATGGGTGCCTTGATGTGGAACCGGTCGCAGGTTATGCCCTCTATTTGTCAATGGATCCTCGGGAACTAACATCAGGCATAGCAATCAAAAACATCTTCGCGGGCCCTTTCTTCACGTGGTATTCACCAGGATTCGGTGGTCATACACTCGAAGAAGCAAAAGCCGATTTGGTAGAATTTCTTGAAACAGAGGGCCCTTTCGATGCCTGTCTCGGATTTTCCCAAGGGGGCAGCTTGCTAGCCTCCGTTATAATAGATGATCAACGAAGAAACCCATTCGGTCCAGCCCTGTTCAAGCTTGCAGTCTTCCTCTGCTCTGGCGCTCCGCTTCTTGTCCCAAAATCTCGGCAGCCACCAGATGTCTCGGACCTTGCGTTGGTTGCGGAGTTAGAATCCCTCACTGAACCTTGGTTGGGTCCCTATGTCCCAGGTCATGAGCCCATGCCCGACGAGTCGTGGAACGTCTTCATACCGGACAAAGTCAACAAGGCCGGTCTCACCATCAACATACCCACCGCTCATATCTATGGCTCGAAGGATCAGACAGTCGATTTAAGTTGGAGACTACGGGACATGTGTGATCCAAGGTGGAGGGTAGAGTTGGACCATGGGGGTGGACACGATGTGCCACGGGCACCAAGTACTGTTCAAATGATGGCGACTGTTATTCGAAGAGCAATGGACCATGCTGTGACTGTACAATAAGATGATTCCAATTCATTGATATTGATGAGAGTTGTATTGTATTGGAATCAGGAATAGGAATTTAGAATGTACAAGCAAGCCTTGCTCTTTAGACTACTTTCACACCTACGAATCTTTCTTCAACAGGGTTCCAAAATGATTCATCCTTGGTTTTTGTCAGAGTGTATTCTATGCGATCGATGATCCCCTGAGAAGTCATATCACCGAGAAGAAGAAGAGACAAAGGTCTGTAAAAGTCCACTGAGAAGAAAATCCTCGTTGTTCAAATGGACAAATCAAATTGTTCACAGTTCTGCATGAACGACAATGACCGTAAACGCAACCGGCTCCTTCCTGTCAGTTCTTCAAATCCTTGATTTTGGGAAATAGCACTTGAGCTCCTAGTTTGGCCTAAGGTATCTTCTTTGCCATGGCACCGTAGCTCACTATCGATCGATTAGCTGTGTCCCTTACATTCGAACGGAGGTCAGACCTGGAAATGGGTCTGGCGACTGGTTCGGATGAGCTAGGCACCAATCCGCAAGACGTAATACCAAATTTCGCAGTCGGGCTAACCACTGACTGTTGCCGGCCATGAAGACAAGATTATGAACAAACATGCTACTCTTGGCTGCTGCAAACCCTCTCTGGAGCATGGAAATCTCATACTCCGCAAGTCTTGTAACGAGTGCGTGATCCTCGGACTGGAGAGTTTCGGCAAGCGCCATGGCATCTGATATAGCGCTTGTGGCTCCTCTTCCAAGATATGGGGTCATGCTGGATCACTGTCAGCTATCAATTCAGATAGACGTTTTGATTGGATTGCGAACCTGTGAGCCGCATCTCCTAACATGGTCACTCGGCCAGATTGCCAGGGACGTATCGGATCCTGGGTCTTCAGGTAAGAGATAAAGACAGAGCTGGGTACAGTAATCGCAATTAGCGATCGAAGCAGAGGGTGCCATTCTCGCGCTCGGGCAAGACATTCATCCTTTAACTCCTCTGGTGTCATTTTATCTGGATGCTTCGATTGATGTTGAAATTCGTTCGAGTAGCAGCCAAGACCAATCATGAGAAACGAATCATCTGGGTTGATGGTTTCCAAATTGTATGGACCGTACGGCTTTTCTGGATTCTTAAAATACGATATGACCATTGATTGCCTGGGAGTCAAAACCTGGGGTTTGGGGCATTAGATTGGAATTGGAAGTAAACAAAGTATCCAAGGGAAATGCTCACCATCCCGCCAGACTCCCAGGGGATCATGGCCTCAGTCTCTGGGGTGAAAGGCGCCTTGAAGTAAATGATAGTCACGCCACTATCGCTCCGTGTGCTCTTCGGGAGAAGTTGCTTTCTGACCTGAGATCCAGCCCCATCGGCCCCGACAAGGAGATCGCATTCTATTGTCTCGCCATCAGCAAAGTATGCTGTGATAGTGTTTTCCCCCTGCTCATATGACCGAAAGGAGTTGTTGAATTTAACAAAGTCTCTAGGCCCGTAAAGCAAGGCATTGCGGAGTTTCCATCGAGATACCGAGTACGCTGAGAGCGAATCTACTGTATCGTTGCGAAACTTGACACTACAAGCCTGGTCCATAAGACAGACTCGGTTTCCACTGGACTTGGATGCTCCAACAGCCTTTCCCAGTAGTTCACGGACTTCTGGCTCCATCTTCTCTCTCATTGATTCAAAAATCTCAGGCAGGACTAGAATCCGGAATCCGGTGAGGCTGTTACCCTCGCCTTCTCGAGACCCACGCTCATAGACGGTCACATCAAATCTCTTATCATTGCGGAGTAACTGGGCAAGAACCAGGCCCCCAATGCCAGCACCAATAATGGCAACTCGAATGGGGACCGAGGAGGTGAATTGATCTGGTTCCATCTGTGGATGCGGCACAAAGAGGAACTGGCTATGGATGTTCTTCCCTTGACTCACACATTCCCCAGGGATGTTTATTCGACTCCCTTCTAGCTGATCTGCATGATTTGGGGGCGGATTTTACCCACACCACTCGGCGAGAATCAAAGAGTGGAGCTATGAGCTCGGCGGGTTTTCAGACACAGGAGATGGCGAGAAAGGAGAATCAGATCCGAGAGATGCTGCGTTATGGGATGAAAAGCCTCGTGGATCTGTGCTCATACGATACCTCTCTGTGCAGGGATGTTGGGCAGCCGGAAAGTTCCGTGTAAGTGAGGCTTATTCTCTTTTTGCTTTTGCTTTGTTCTCATCCAATGCGGCCCCTTTCCTCTGAGTCCTTCCCCCCGCCAACGGCCACTTTGAGAACAGCTTCGATGGTCCCATTTTCCGTCAAAAATGGACAATCGCAATCTCCCGCAACCTCTGATTCAACAACTTCATGGGGACACCAACACTATTGGGGAAAATCGGCCCAAGCGAGCGGCTCATATCGATGGCGCCCAAATTGAGACGTGGCGAATTTGCTTCATTATGGCAGGGTTCGTATTCACTTGTCGATTTTCTCGCTCAAAAGCTGATGAGCTACAATATCTGTGTAGTCTGTGGACTTGCCTCTTTCTTTCCGCACTCGAGACCACGATCGTTTCAACGGCTCTTCAGACAATATCAAGCGATTTGCAGGATCTGTCCAAGTCAACATGGATTGTTGTCGCCTACCTCCTCACCTACAATGGTAGATCAAATCTGTGATTCAAAAAAAAAAAGAAATGGAATGGTTACTAACTCCACTCTGTTTCCTTGCAACCAGGATTCTTAATTCTCTTTTCCAAATTAACCGATATTTTGGGGCAGAAGGCCTTGCTCATTATGGCACAGTGCATCTTTCTTGTCTTTTCAATGGCTTGCGGTGCCGCCCAGACAATGACACAGCTGTATGAGCCCCTGAGAGATACCAGGAGGTAAATGCTAACCCTGTCCCAGCATAATCTTTCGTGCTCTACAGGGAATTGGTGGCTCCGGTATCTACTCGATCGTCTTTGTCATCATTGGCAAAATTGGGACTGTCGAGAAGATGCCAATCTACATGGGAGGGATGACATCTGTCTTTGCTGTAGCGAGTCTCTTAGGTCCGATTATTGGGGGCGCAATCGTTGACCATACTACATGGCGATGGGTCTTCTTCCTGAAGTATGACCATTCGGCTTTTCATACGTGTCTGACCCCCAAATCGCTGATTTTTTCTACCTTAGCGGCCCTGGAGTTGTGATTTCTCTGTTAATTCTTGTCCCTGCAATTCCGGATCTAGGGGAGAAGTTCATCGAGAAAGAGAAATTGAGGCGCATCGATGTCATCGGTGGCCTTCTGTCTCTCGCTTGGCCTATTCTACTGATCTTCGCACTAGAAGAGGGTGGGCAAGCATACTCATGGAAAAGCAGCGTAATCATTGGGACCCTCGTCGGCAGTGGAGTTGGCATTATTATCTTCGGCATCTATGAACATTGCGTTCAACAACAAGCTAAGCAAGAGCCAATGCTTCCTATCGGTCTTCTCAAGATTCCGGCTCTATGCCTTAAAATCACGTTAGTGGGCTTTTCGATCATCCATCTCATGCACAATCAACTCAAATTTTGTTTTCTTCCAGGATCATGTTCACGATGGGAGGTTGCTTCTATGCGGCAATAATTCTTCTCCCCCAAAGATTCCAGGCGGTCGATGGAATCTCTGCTGAGAGAGCGGGAATTAATCTCCTTCCTTTCACGATCGTGTCGCCAGTCTTTTCGGGACTTTGCGGTGTTCTTCTTGCCAAATATCAGAAGAGTGCCGGGCTTGTGCTATGTATCGCGTCGGTTTTCACGGCTGTCGGGATAGCCATGCTCGGTACACTCTCGACCGATACTTCTGGCCTGGAACCCAAAGTTTACGGGTTTGAGCTCATCCTAGCTATAGGTCTCGGCCTTATGATGCCACCCATCTTTTTCTTTATCAAAGTCGAATACCACGATTCAGACTTGGGTAAGTCCTCATGTGCTATCTAGCCAATCCCCCTTCAAAAGAAATTTGCAGCCATGCTAAACCGCCTCAACCAGCTGCGATTATGGGTGCAATCAACACTGCTCGCACGCTAGGTGGCTGTGTTGCCGTTGCCGTATGCTCTGCCATTCTTCACGCTGATCTGAAATCCCATCTGGCATCCTTCCTCTCCTCGAGTCAGATTGAGGCTGTCCTGAGCTCAACATCTGGCAGCTCAGCCTTGACCCCTCACGACAAGATCAAGCTACAGCGGGTTTATGGTACAAGTTATAATACCCAATTTCGTGCCTTGTTGGCATTTGCAGGGCTCAATCTGCTCGCCACGGCGGTTCTGTTGTTTGAGCGACATAGAACAGCTGGTCGGTCCAAGAACTGACGGACTCGTGTTGCTGGATTTGTGCGATAATCAAACATTCTCCAATCCAAACGCGAAACCAGCTATTGACTTATCTTGAATATTTAGATTTGATTATGCTATAGCTTATTGTCCTGCCAGATTTCTGTCGATGAATAATTAACTCGCCTCACGTTTCCACTTGGTTCAAGTCAGACTAGTAGGCATGAATGAGTTCAAATGAATTTGATACAGTTCCAAAGATTACCACACCTTCGCCGTTGGCCATATGGAAGGGCGACTTGGTTTGCTATCAGCACGAAGAATCGTGGCCTTTTCAACACCTCGACTTACACCATATCAGAAATGTTGGATCCGAACTGCACTGATTTTGGGTATGATGACACAATGGATAAAAGGCTGCATTTTTCCACCACACTTGCGCATTTACCCATCTCCCCGAGTGATCAAATCAATTTTCTCAAGTGAATCCGATCACCAATGATCATTAACCTGGTAAAGCTCTTCCGACCTGGTCCATGTTGGCTCGGCATCACTAGTGGTGGGCTTCTTGCAGTTCAAAGCTCCTTTTCGCATTTGTTTCCAGTGAACATATACGAGTCAAGATGGAGGGGGGGAAAAAACGACCCATCTGCAGGTCCTATAACACGGGAATCCTGGGGCCACAGCTAATACGTACCCCTGAACGGAGCGATTTGGATAGGATATTGGCATGGGTCATAAAATAATCTACATAGTGTGAGAGGGTGTAGGTGCCACATACAATGGCCACATTCACTGGGCAGGGGCAATTGCCTGGGAGATTGTTTGTGGCTCCCCTTAAATGTATTCAAATTCTCGATCTTTTTGCCCTCGACGTGTTTATCTGCGCGATTTGTTGATAATCCAAAAATCCGAGACCCTTTTCATGCCATTCACGTCGTATACCGAGAGCGAGATGGTCACATGCCACAGCACTCCGTAAACAGGCACGAGATGTTTGTTGTAGGTGCCTGGACTTACAAACACTACAAACATGCCATTTCAGCACGTGACTCTCCCCCGATGTCGGTCGTCATCTTTTTCATCTCCATGGGATTGTAAGGAGTAAGAAGTAAGAATCTTACGAAAAGACCAATTGAATCTAGAGAACGAGGGTTTTGCTTCATCCCTTGCACCTATCCTTTAGAATATCCATTCGATGCTATCGTTCAACCATGCCGATCAACCCTGCCAGTTCCACGTTGATCTCAAATAGATCAGACCCTACAAGTAGAATTCCAGATACCTAGGTAAGTCTGTTATGTGCCTCTGCTATCTTTTTACTCAGTAACCCTCATTGAGAGATATCATCGTCCATCTTCAACTTTCAAGTCAATGACTCAATGGCCCATACCGAATTGACTCATACCCCCGCTATAGTCAGAATTGACCTATAAAACGATCGAGTCGAGTTGGAAACATAGATTCCGTCAGTATAGTAGCTGCACTTGGAAAGTTCAGTTACTCCTGGTAATTTGAACATATAAATAACCATCTCTTTTCTTACGTTTCCTGCAAGGTTGATCCTCGGCGATCCACAGTTTTGAAGTTTTTCTCTCCCCGCTTCGATTCTTTCGCTTCGATCTCAGTCCACCTTGAATAATCACACCATGCCCTCCCGACAAGAAGTTTCCTACTTTGGAGCTGGCCCAGCCCCCCTCCCGACTGCAGTCGTTGAGGCCGGCGCAAAGGCATTCGTCAACTTCAACGACACCGGACTCGGACTTGGCGAGATCTCGCACCGCTCCCCCGCCGCCAACAAGATCCTCAACGATGCTAAAGCAAACCTCACCGCTCTCCTCGATATCCCCGATAACTACGAGGTCCTGTTCATGCAGGCAGGAGGAAGTGGCGGGTTCAGCTCTGTCGTGCAGAACCTGGTCTCCGTCTGGATTGAGCGCCGCCGCCGCAGGGCTGAGGCCGACGTGAAGAAGGCACAGCCCGATGCAGAACAGGCCCAGGTTGACGAATTGGTCTTCCAAAGACTGCAAAAGGAGGTCGATGCGGAGCTGAAGCTGGATTACCTCGTGACTGGATCGTGGTCGCTCAAGGCTTCCCAGGAAGCAAGCAGACTGATCGGCTCGAAATACGTGAATATTGCTGTTGATGCTCGCAAAGCCAACAATGGGAAGTTCGGAAGAATCCCCGCTGAGGATTCTTGGTCCTTGACTCCTACTAAGAAGGAGGGCGGCAAGGGCTCTGCGTTTGTCTACTTCTGCGACAACGAGACCGTCGATGGTGTCGAGTTCCAGCAGTTCCCCAAGTCATTGGAGGCTCAGGGTCAGGATCCTGAAGATGAGCGTCTCGTCGTCGCCGATCTGAGCTCCAACTTCATCAGCCGAAAGGTTGATGTCAGCAAACACGCCGTCATCTTCGTGCGTTGGCTTCGATCCCTCCGCGTGATGGGAGTATGACACTAACAACATATTATATAGGGTGGCGCACAGAAGAATATCGGTGTTGCCGGTATCACTATTGCCATCGTTCGCAAGGATCTCCTCCCTCCCCACACTGCGACTCCTCCCCCGGCTCTCCTCCACCGGTTGAACCTCGGCGGTCTCCCCGGCCCAATCGTTCTCGACTATGCAACCACCGCAAAGAACAATTCTCTCTACAACACCATCCCAATCTTCAATCTTTGGATTGCCGGTCAGGTCATGGCCGACCTGATTGCCGAGTTCGGCGCTCAAAAGGTCAGCGGCCAGGAAGAAGTCGCCAACAAGAAGGCGCAGCTCATCTACGGCGCTTTGGACAAGTTCCCACAAGTATACCAGGTTGTTCCTGATGTTAGCGTCCGCAGTCGCATGAACATCTGCTTCCGTGTAAGCGGTGGTGATGATGCAAAGGAGAAAGAGTTCATCGCTGGCGCCGAGAAGCGTCTTCTTCAGGGCCTCAAGGGCCACCGCAGTGTAGGCGGTATGCGCGCCAGCAACTACAATGCGGTTCCCTTAGAGAATGTGCAGAAATTGGTCAAGTACCTTGAGGACTTTGCTACGGCACAGTAGAGTGCGTTTGGAGATGACATCGGTGTTTGAGCGAATTCAGCCTGGGGCATGGGGCCAGGAATATGTGATGGGTAACGAAATAGGACGCTAGAATTTGTCCAGGTCAGTTGCGACTGTGTATTCAACATAACTCCCAGTGTATCCATGCTATATACATATGCTTTGATGACAAAAGAATTCCGATATTGGTACAAAGGTGGCCCAAGGGCCCAAGGGAAACCGGTCAGAGCTTCCACACACCCCAGTCTTTGAGATCCAGTTCCTTGATGACTCCTTTCAGGGGCCCCTGAAGTTCCTGACCTTGCGCCCACAGCTTGGACCCAGCCATGTAACTGATGAACCCCTCAGGACCGGAAACCAAAATCAATTTGCTCTTGCTCTCACGAGGGTCGCTTGTCGACGCTGGTGCAATAGCACATCGAATATCCTCCTTTGTTATGAACGTGTTTTCTTCATCCAGATAGTAATCCACAATGACCTGCCCGGGATACTGGGACTTCAGCGCCTCTAGCTCTCGCACAATTATAGAGGTGCCTTCTGTTCGCACAACATCCACAGCATTTTCCGACGTGGCTTCCTGGCTCTTCGACGAGCCAACCCACCCCGAGAACCAGCCCCGGCGTGGCTGCGGCTTCAGCGAGTCACTGTGACCACCAGCGCAGTCATCCTTCAACCGATTCGCCCACAAGATGTGAATCCTCGGCCGACGCTCGGTGTGCTTGCGATTCAAAAGAGAATACGCAGCCTGAAGAGCTGGTGCAATCCCCGTCCCTCCAGCAATGAAAAGTATGTCCTCCGTTTCCTTCGGGATCGCGCACTCGATCTTGGGGCCACGCATCTCGACATCAGCGCCTACGTCAATGTTATGCAAATAGCGCGAAACCTCTCCAAAGGGATCCTTCCGAATAAAGAACCGCAGGCATCCCTCATTCTCGTCGTCGACGCTTAGCGACGTCGCCGCCGTCGTAGGTAGCGGGGTGTAATCTCGTCCGATTTGTAATTGTGGTTGCTTGAACATCACACTCCAGACGCCTGTCTGCCATGCGTCTTCGTAAACATCGTAGTTGGTGTCGCTGGGTTTGCGTGGTCGCAGCGTGAAGAGGCTGCTGGTTGCTGACACTGGCTCGCGTGACACAAGGCTGTATTTGGTAAAGGTTTCAGGGTTCAAAGTTGCAGAGGAAGTGTTTTGAGATCTGATATAGGCGCCAGCACCTGCTGCTGTTACGCCCACGAAGACGATACTTAGCCAACGGCGCGAGTTGGAGCGGGAGAAGTTTGGTGACGTTGGGGTTGCCGAGGTTGAAGCAAAGCGTATAGGTCGAGCTACAGCTCCAAGACCTTGGCTGCGTCTACAGCATAAAGAGGATAAATTTTTCATATGGAAGTGCAAGTGAAGAGAAAAAAGAAATCGCGGGGGATGGAAATTCAAAGGTCGAGGCCAAGAGCCGATTGGGCGATCGACAAGGGAAAGCACCCCCTTGGCGGTCTTCTTCGCTTCAACTCACTTTGGAGATTTCTCCTCTCTACAGATTTCACATTTTGGACATTCTCCATATTCTCTTCGGGCAATGGAGACTTCCCTTGGCCACTCCTGACGACACACCTTACCGCCCTCTTCTCTCTCTCTCTCTGTCTCTGTCTCTGTCTCTTTGACGACTTGAGCACGCTGGGGACAAAGAGAATATGTCGAATAAATATCAAGGCAACAGAAATGGCAGCCTCACTGCACCTCGAGATTCACTAGAACTAGCCTCCCTCGCATCCTCATCCCCCGGCTCCGTAGGCGGGTCCTCACGCTCCTCTTCCTCCGACGGCATCTCCTCATCCCGCAAGCTCTCCCTCGAAGACGAAGATCCTCTCACAGAATCGCATACAGATACCGAACAAGGAACCGGCCGGCATAGAGCTCAGAGCTCATATTCTATATCCTCAGCATTCGATTTCGGGCGCAATCTATTCCCGCTATCGCAAACACAAGGTGGCTACGCGCCCCTAGGTACTCCGTCCGCAGACAGGCCTGGGTTCACCGATGGATCGCTGGAGCGGAATAAAACATTGACATACCTGAATGGGCTGTCACTAATTGTTGGGCTGATAATTGGATCTGGTATCTTCTCGTCGCCGAGCCAAGTCAATGCCAACGCGGGGTCGCCGGGTGCCTCGCTCATCGTTTGGGCTGTGGCTGGTATATTGGCCTGGACGGGCGCTGCTAGCTATGCAGAGCTAGGAGGAGCAATTCCCTTGAACGGAGGCTCGCAAATCTATCTGTCCAAGATTTTTGGAGAGCTAACAGGTTTCCTTTTTGCATGGTGCGCCGTGTTAGTGTTGAAACCTGGGTCTGCCGCGATCATCTCTCTTATCTTTGGCGAATATGTCGTTCGTGCATTTGTGGGCGCTGATGTGGGCGATATCAACCCTTGGATCAACAAGGGTGTTGCATTTGGAGGACTTGTGGCAGTGACTCTGCTCAACTGCATCTCTACCAAGTTCGCTACCCGCATTGGGGATTTCTTTATGTTCTTCAAGTTCATTGCTCTGCTAGGAGTGACAGTCATCGGCATTGTAGTTGCTGTGACTGGCTTCTCAGCTGGAGGAAACGCAAATGAAGAATGGAAGACGGCAGGATGGTTCGAGGGAACCAACACCGAGATCTCCGATTTTGCAGTGGCCCTGTATGCAGGTCTGTGGGCATTTGACGGCTGGGACAATGTAAGTTGACACTTGAATATTTCCGAAATGCTCCTACTCACAACATGCAGACCAACTACGTGACGGGCGAATTCAAGAACCCTAACCGCGACCTGCCTCGGGTCATCCACACGGCGATGCCCCTGGTCATCCTGTCCTATCTGCTCGCCAATGTCTCGTATTTCTTCGTTCTCCCTCACTCCACCATTGAAGCAAGTAACACCGTCGCCGTTCAATTCGGTGCCAAAGTATTCGGCGCCGCCGGAGCCCTGATTCTAGCTCTCGTCGTCTCAGCCAGCTGCTTCGGAGCACTCAACGCAACCACCTTCACAAGCGGCCGACTAGTCTATGCAGCCGGCACGGAAGGCTATCTCCCTTCAATTTTCGGCCGTATCGGTCTTCACGACTCCCCACCGCAAGGCCCGCCAGCAAGCAGCCGACTACGTCGCCGCTCCTGGGCCCGCAAGTTGATCTTCCGTCTCTTCGGCGATGACTCCAAACTCGGCTTCACGCCAATCTACGCCATGGGCTTTAACGGCGCTCTTACTACCATCTACCTCGTCGTCGGCGAGTTCGGCACCCTCGTCACTTTCTACGGTGTAGCCGGATACACCTTCTACTTCCTCACCGTGCTCGGCCTGATCGTTCTCCGTATCCGTGAACCCCAGTTAGGACGTCCCTACCGCACCTGGATCACCACTCCCATCATCTTCTGCTGCGTGAGCCTGTTCCTTCTTAGTCGAGCTGTCATCTCCGAGCCCCTGCAAACCCTCATCGTCGTCGCGTTCATCATCACTGGTGTACCTGTCTACTACTGGCGTATTTACCAGCGAGATGGTCGGATCGATCTTCCCAGCTGGAAATTCTGGAAGCGCGGTTCCTGACCAGTTTGGGGTAATTCCCCGCCCGCTCTGATCTTGTTTGCTCTTATGATTTTGATACCCATGCACATTTAGCTGAGGCGTATGGTACGAAGTGAAAGCTGTGCTTGGTGTTTGTGTTTGTGTGTGTGTGTGTGTGTATTCGCACTTGCGATGGAAGCCTTTTGGTGACGATGTGATGACCAGGGCTCTAAGCGGGTGCATTTGGATTGCTTCGCTTACTTCGCTTGCTTCCTGATGCCCCACGCTGCGTCTGCTTCTACCTTGTTTTATTACTGAGATCCAGTACGCTGCTTACTACATGTGGTGCATACTTTACATAATGTTTATAATATTTGCATATCGCAATTCTTCATACTCCAAGACCATCCCAAATAGATGCTTGTACGAGAACCGCAGCTGGCTGTTCATAATCTTCGGCTTCAGGCTCTGCGAAGAACAGTGGTTCGAAGCAATGATCTTCTGGGTAGTAGATTCGTGTGGTGATGACCGTTCTATCATTGACAAACACTTCTAGCACACTTGAGTCAAAGTAGGCGTGTACTCGAAGCGTCTCTTCGACCTCTTCGCCACGCTGATTCAAGGAAGTAAATAGCGTGTGCGGAGCAGTTTCATAGCCGTGATTTACATCGATGTTGCCTATCATTGGTCGATGGACTTCGAAGGTCTCACTTCGTGGATGCCAGGAAAGGGTCGTGCAGTTTTGACCATCTAGCAGAACAATGTCAGTATCTGTTCGATTGATAGACGTAAAAAAAGGACAAAATTAACAGTCTTACCAGAAGTGTGTGGAATCTTGATCCCCACACGGGCACAAGATTGGCCAACGGAAAATTCGGCATCGATTTCCCATTTAGATGTCCCCCAAAGCGTAGCAGTTTGTGAAGGTGACGTCGACAGGGCAATGTCAGCGAGCTGGCTCTCCCGGGCATTTCGTCTCAGCTGCTGTAGTCGGCTATCTGGGCTGATCTTCATGGTATAAATCGTGGAGGTACCAGTGCCTGGTGCATCGGGGACTGCGTCAATTGAAGTGATCGAACTCAACCGGCAGGTTCGTGCCTTCTTGACATTTTTCAATGTCATCAATCCCACCACACGAGGAAGTGAAACCAAGCCGCTGAATCCTTGGCGATGACGCAGGGAATCGGACAGGTCCTCTTCCGTAATCCAGCCATAGACGATATGTTGCGAAGTTTGAGGGTCGTAGAACGAGTTGGCTGCATAGTAGCAGCCGTGGTCGAAGATGCCAGAGAATGCATAAGAGGCTAAAGGACTGTCTTTGACAGTAGCCTTCTTTACTCCGTTGGATTTGATGGACATCCAGAGCTGGCTTCGCGCTGCCCGTCTCCGACGTGCTTCTTGGGCTCCGTCTTGATTTGAAGCATCCAACGGCACACAGCCTTCGGCTCCCATAATGATGAAGTCCCGAGACGTGCCGGTGTCATTGGTCAGGGTCATCAAATTAACAACCTCCCAGTTCACGCCGTAGTCGCCAGACCAGCGAGATGGTCGTAGGTTGAGACCGACGTCGATCAAGGGGCCAATGAAATCCCACTTGGTGAGATCTGTTGCTTGGACGGTATAGACAAAGACTGTTGGTGTTTTCTTGCAAATTCCTCCGGATATAAAGCCATATAGTGTTGACGGTGTGTGTGTGGAGAGAGGTCCATCGGCCCAAGTTGTGATCCAAGGATCTCTCCAACCTGTCACGTCAAGATGAGAAGGCGGGCCAGTGAGTACTGGATTGCAGTTCTGGCGTTCCCAGGTCTCGCCGCCATCTTGTGAGACAGCTAAACTGAGAGTCTCACTTCCGAGTGTGTATGGTAGGGTATAATGTATCGGGAGATGTCTAACGGAGGTGTAGATGATTGTGAGAGCTCCTGGTTGTCCGGAAATATCGGTTGGCTGTAGACATCCTGTAAAGACTCCGAGGCGATCATATTCAGCGGAAGGTGTCAAAATGGGATCGATGGAAGTCTTCCATGACACCAGGTCCGGGGATGTAGCATGGCCCCAGGACATATTGCCCCAATCATTCCCGCGTGGGTTCCATTGGAAGCTCAAATGATATAAACCTGTTTCTGGGTCATACCCCAAGCCAGAAGGGTCGTTCATCCATCCTGTTGGTGCTATAACATGGAAAGAAGGTCTCCATTGTGTAGGATTCCGAGGTAATTTCTTGTGTTCATGAAACATGTCATTAACTTCACGGGGTTTGAAAGGAGATTGCCCGCTATTTTGCTGAAGTTTGAGTGTAAGCATGTCTAACTCTGCTGTCATGACAGGAGCAGACATTCCTTTTTTTTTAGTATTGGATTTGATGCAAAAGAAAAAAAAAAAGGTGGATGAATCGTCGGACCAGGTGAGGATATACTTCCAGGGTCTATCACAGTTCAAACCTGGCCACTTCGCCCACCAAATACAGCGTTCCCCGAGAGACTATACCCCGAGACTTCAAAAGTACAGTCTGAGGATATAACAGAAAACAGAGATGTGATCTTGAAAAGGCTTGAACTTCAGGATTTCCCGATTCGGGAATTAATCGGAAATAGGTTCGGCATTTGCAGGAGGATTGTCGGGGAAATCCAAATGATCCCAATTAAACTGGCAAATGGGTCAATGAGCTGATGCGCAGGTGGGGTAATGGACTATCTACACTATGACATATATTAGTATAGATAGTCCATGAGGTATGCATCCCCTTTGCAAGCTGAAGTGGGAATTCTCGGAGAAACTCGCAAACAAAAATCCGGGGGGGAAGGGGAACTTTTTGGAAATCCGGGGGGATCCGGGGAACCTCCTCTTCTACCCCATCACCATATTCAACATGAATCGATATAGAGTCTAAATTCCCTATGGAAGTGTGTCGTCGAGGTTGTAACCTCGTACGCATCATGTCTTGCAAGTGTGATTCAACTGAAACAACACATGTCGATTACCCGGACTTGGAGTCGCGTCGAAAGTCCCAAGCCATCAATGTCCAATTAATATTCGCGTGTACAGTATTTGGTGCCGCTTCATTCTTGTTCGGATTCGACGACAAAATCATTTCTCCAGTTGCTGCATTGCCGGATTTTGTGGGTGCTGCAAATCATCACAAACAGATGATCGATGCTGATTCCTATGCAGGTTGAGAAATTCCAAGGACCTAACCCAGTCACGGGGAAGTATGTCCTCACGGCTCGCAATCAAAATCTGGTCTTCTCTCTTCCATTGGTGGGCTCCGTGATTGGAGGTCTGCTTGCTTCGCCAATGAACTTCCACTTTGGTCGCAAATGGCCGTTGATTGTTGCATATATCATCTCTATAGGTGGCGGATTGCTACAGGTCTTTGCGCCAAATTTGGGGGCCTTTGTGGGAGGTCGGTCGATCAATTCGGTTGCCTTGGGTATCATAAGTGCAACTGCTCCTTTATATATCTCCGAGGTATTGATCCTTTCCCCCGTATTTCATGTTCAATCTCACTCATTCTTAACTTTCAGGTGGTTCCCGCCTCTATACGTGGAAGATGTGTCAGTTCAATGAACATCTTGAATCTAATGGCCGGCGTGGTAGGGACCGCTGTGGTCTTCAGAACGGAAAAGATCCATGGGAACCTATCGTACCAGATCCCAATGGCTGTACAGTGTGCCCTACCTGTGCTTCTCCTCTTCCTGACAGTGACCCTCCCAGAAAGCCCACAATGGCTGACTGGGAAGGGAAATATAGCAGACGCTCGACACAGCCTACGGAGATTGCGTGGATTCAGCGACGACGAGGTTGAAGATGAACTTCATCTCATGAGGCTGTCTGAAGAAAATGAGCGCCAATTACACGCTCAGACTAAGTTCTGGCACATCTTCCAGCGACAACACCTCAAGCGTACCCTGACTGCGGGCTCGATCTTCTCTCTTAATCAAATATCAGGTGTCATTCTTTCAACGACATACACAACCGTCTTCCTCACAGCGCTGGGTATTGCAGACCCCTTCGTCCTGACAATCATTTCATCCGGTTGCACATTAGCCGGTACCATTGCCGCACCCTTTGTCATCGATCGTGCCGGTCGACGTCCCACAGCATTCGTCGGAATGGGGATTCTATTCGTAATTGACGCCGTGGCCGGTGGCTTAGCCTTCAATAGAGGCAACAAGAAAGCCACGATAGGTATCGCGGCGTTGTCCTTTGTATTCAATTTCTTTTGGGCAGCTTCGTTTTTCTCGCTGTCGAACCTCATGCCCTCCGAAATGGCAACTCCGAAACTCCGCCACCACACCATGGCCTACACGATTGCCTGTGCACAAACCACCGCCGTTATCACCACTCTCGCTGTTCCGCAGCTGACTTCGGCGGATGCGGCAAATCTTGGCGCGAAGACGTATCTCATCTTTGCTGGATGCATGGCTGCCATCATTGTCTTTTTCTACTTCTTCATGCCGGAGACACGTGGTCGGACTTTTTCTGAGATCGATGAGATGTACGCGGCTAAGATCCCCATGTGGAAGTGGAGGTCGTATGAGACTTCATTGGAGCTGAGGTCCCGTTCGTCAAAACGTTTGGCGTGACCCAGCCAGCTCATCTGTTTATATCATAGTGCATTAATATACCTAAAGAGCAAACGCTCTGTACTCCTTGCATTGTCCCAGGGAAATATATCAAGTTGGGTATAGTTAAACTCGCTCTATTGGTACACTGCAGAATCCAGTGAAAAATAATTTTTCCATGTAGAACATGAGCCAATGAGGTCTAAAAAAAGGAAATCACACAACTCCAAGACCTGTCTCATAGAAATTAAAGAAGATCACTCGGGCCAAATCAAACCCCCCCCCCCCCCTGGGGCCCCTTGAGGAGTTTTAGTCATCGTTGTGGCCACTCCGGCGCTTTGGGTTCCATAATCTGTAGCGAGCGTAGATGAGCTCTATACTTCTCCAGATAGGGGTGGTTTCCACCGCGGAAGCTGGTCATGAGTAACAAAAAGTCTTCTACAAGACTCTGGGGCATAGAAGTCGTGGTTGCTGGTATTCTTTCGGTGAAATTGACGGGCATGTTCGGGCCAACCCCGTAAGACGGGCTTGTATTGCATAAGATGTTCGTTGCGCAGATTGCGATATCGTACAGTTTTTCGGTCTAGAAATTAAGCTGTAAGCATGGAGTCAAGTTGAACAGCCGAACCTACACATCCACAGGATATAGATGAGAGCAGGGTTACCTACCAGACCGATGCCATGGGCTTCCATGGAGCTCAATCGTAATGACTGACACAGCTGAAGAGTAGTTTCAGCAACGGATACGGCATATCCGAAGGTGAGCTCGGGATGTTCCGAATGGGCACTCAGAAGCCCGTGGGTTGAGGAGAGGAGCCAGACACGGTTCTGGAGCCATTTCTGGGTAATAAACACGTCCGCTGCTTGGGTCTCTCGTAGGCCCATGGCAAATGTGACATTGCTGGTTTCGCCACGGCCTCCCTTGGCTCGCTCGAACCAGTCATAGCCGCGATATCGTTCGGCTTGGTTGACTCGATTGAGGTTTTGGTGGATGGAGAGTGCCTTGACTTCGGTGAGCCGTTGGCAGTACCCACTGCTGCTATCACATCGGCGGTTCCAGCAATCAATGACATCTTCGTCAATGGCATCGAATAATTCCATCATTCGTGCGAGACCCATCATCCCCTCGGCGTCTTTCTCATTGTGGACCATAATGCCAGACACGACGCTATGCGTGGCGCTTTGGATAAAGTCATGCACTGATCGCATGGTAAATCCTGGCTTCCCCCAGAAAGTGATTGGGTGGCGCCGTTGCAAAGCATAGGCTCTGAAGCTGGTGGTCAGCGAGTTGATTTTGATGGAGTTGGTTGTTTGCTTACCTTTCCGTAATAGAGAGGACGAGATACGTTCGTAGTCGTTGGCCTTTCTCTTCCCCAGACAGATCCTGATATGACTCGGGATCATTCAATCCCAGCGTGGCTGCAAGATCTAGTGCCTCCCGTATCCGGAGCCACGCTGCGTTGTGCTGGTTACTTCCAAACAAACAGCCAAAGAGGAAAAAGCTTGTCAGGACAGCTTCAAGGGTTGGGTTCTCGCCAAAATCTGAACAGCTTCGCATTTTGGTCGCTGCGTTCATCATAGCTCGTGCCTGCAGAGCTCGAGATGAGGTTGTCTGCCGCTCATTGATTTCGATTGGCTGTGTGAGCGAGAATGCACATAAAGACAAGAGCATGGCCCCAAATTGAGAATTCTTGCGATGTTCCTGTGTGATCATTGATGTATACAGAGATGATCGGTTGAGGACAGGTAAGGTCGGATGTAGCCGATCAAAGTAGACATCAATCCAAGGGATCATATTCGCTTCGCTGATGGTGGATGGCCATACTGCATCACTCTCCTGGGTATCTGAGTGCATGGACCCCACGGTTGGTGAGAATGGCAAATTTGGAGCTTCCTGCGGGGGCATTCCCATGGCCCCAGCATCGGGAACTGGTTGAATGATAGATGGAAGAGATGGCCTGAGATATACATTACTTCCTGGGTATTCAAAAACAGGGACTTGAGAATCAAGATTATCTGGAAGCCAGTACTCGACGTCATTCCGATCATTCCAGCTCATGCCGCTGGCGCTGTTGCTGTGAGAATCTATAGATGTGGTTTCCTCACCCCAGGTTGCCATTGGAGGTGGTATACCTGAAGGCGCTAGTCCTCCGGTGCCTTCTAGAGGCATCGTGGCTGGACCATGAGTGGGGGTCCAAGGTACTCCGGGCAGAGACCCGGCTTGTCCGGACTCCACCGATGAGGTCGGAGTTTGGAATTGGAAGCCATTTTTAGATTCTTCTTGAGGAGTAATAATAGTTTGCTGTTGTCGAATTTGCGACACGCGACTTTATCCCAGTCAGTGAGTGATACTATTCACAGTCACGGGCCATTACTCACTGCCCGGTTGGTCCACGCTTCTTCTGTGGTTGAAGGAATGTACACTCAAAGCCCATGGACTCACAAGCCTTGCAGGGCTGTGACAAGCTACACTGGAGGTAAGTTAGTATGCTCAGTGTCATTTTTGATACGAGGGTAAAGGGGGGGGGGGGGGGGGGGGTGGATGTCTTGCCTTGATCTTGCGGAATTTGCATTGGTCGCATGCTCTCTTGGCGATAGCAGATTTATTTGATCGAATAGCGCCAGTGGCAGTGGCGCCGGTCGGAGATCTTCTAGCTTCCATCTTCCTGAAGTATCGTGTGCATCTGATGTAGAGCTATAGCTCTCTCAGGCAGAGAGATTGAAACATAAAATCTAGTGAGGTTGAAGAAGGTTTGACCCACATGGCCAATTGGCCCCCCCGCCTTTCCGTCTTATCATCTTCCTCTTCTCTAATGTTTTCATCGGATTCAAAAGATCATTATGCAAAATGACTATGGGAGAAATGAAAAATACGGCAAATTTCGGGTCGATAAAGAGAGAAAAAAATTTACTTCAAATATGCCCAAGTGGTAATTGATGAAAGTGTGCTACGTCTCCACTTGATAAGGCCCTCGGACAGCAGTCCGAAAAGACTTTAAAAAGCTAGTCTTGACCTCCAATAGGGCTCGTGCAAGTGCAATTCATACATGGGCAGCTTATACACTTGGGAAGAAAGTGTCTCTCAGAAATGGCTCATCAGAGACCAACTCCTCGCACCGTATTTGGTCGATGTAGCTCAACCTCTACCGCCAGTACAGAGTCCCAAGGAGCATGCTCGACTAGAAGATCCCTTGATTCAAAAGATCACAGATATCGACAATATTGCGGCTCTGCTGGAATCAATTAAGAAAGGGAGTTCCATGCAGAACAGGGGATCATGATGTATTCCAACGGTATGGTTTGTCTTTGATCGGGGGTTGGAACAGGTCATTTCCTAATATCATCGACAGGACTACGGTAGCACATCAATTGGTATGTGCCTTACATTCTCCGTTCCATTTTCATTCCTTACCGATCCACTGATAAGATCTGATATAGAAAAACAGTCTGACTGAGATTCTGTTCGAAGATGCCATCGAACAGGCAAAGCAGTTAGACACCGATTTTGCAGATAGTGGAAAGCTCAAGGGTCCCCTGTATGGAATTTTAATCATGCTAAAAGGCCAATTCAACGTCAAAGGTATTGACACAGCCCTGCAATATGCGGGCAGGTCCCTTCGCCTCGGCCCAGGAAGATGTAGTACTTGGGCAGATCTTGAAAAACATGAGCGCCATCGTCATAGCGAAGACAAACCTTCTGCAGCGTATCAGAATTCGTTCACGATTATCACTGGCAGCATCCGAGTTGGAGTTGGACTCTACCTCCAGGGGACCGAAACCGAGAATCCTCTCTGTAGGCTCACGATCAATCCTCGCAATCCTTTTTTTTCCCCACCTGGTGGCTCAACGGGTGGTGAAGGTGCATTGTTGACATTGTATGGATCACGATTTGGAGTCGGAATTGATATCGGCGGAAGCATAAGAATCTCACAGTCTACCATGGGTTTGTGTGGCTTCAAACCAAGCGCAAGCATCAACCGCCGTGAACAAAACTGCCCTTCCTTTCTCTTCACCTACATGCACTTGTTTTTTTCCACAGAGCGCTCGACTTCCTTATTAGGGCGTACCCGTCTCCACCGAAAACCAAGAGCATGTCCCATCTGCTACATGAGCCGGCTGATAGCGAACAGTCAGCCCTGGAATCTCGATCCACGATACGCTCCTCTTCCCTAGAATGATATTGCCTTCCACACACTCCAAGACTGACTTATGGTCATTGGCTTAATTCTGGATGACGGCGTGGTAAAGGTCCACCCGCCTGTTGCACGCGCCTTGCTAGAACTCTCAGCTGTGCTTCAAGCACAGGGCTACGAGGTTGTGGTATGGGGCCAATCTGACCATGCGGGATGCATTGAGATTATGGATCTTTTCTACAGGGTCGATGGAGATGAGGAAATTTGTAGCCGCTACCGGTGAGCCGTTTGTTCCTCACGTTGAAGGACTGGCTAACCGCAGCAAGGCGATCTCAGTTTATGAGTATTGGCAGTTGAGCAAGCAAACAGCTGCGGTGCAAAAGAAATATCTGGATAAATGGAATGCGGTGCGATTTCTGTCAGGTCGGGCTGTCGATGTTCTGTTGGATCCTACTTTGCCGCATACGACTGTGTCTCATCGGAATATCCGTTGGGTTGGCTATACTGAAATTTGAAATTTTCTGGACTATCCGACTTTGACTTTTCCAGTGGATAGAGTGAGGGCTGAGCTGGATGAGTTGCCCTCGGAGCCTCATATTCCAAGAAACGGTAATGATGAGTGGAATTAGAATTATTGCGACGCGAACCCAGGTGGATGGAGACTCGGTGAATCTACAGATCGTCGGGAAGAATCACCACAAAGAGAAGGTACTGGGGGTTTCTACAGTTATTGAGAAGATCTGGAAAAGGCATGTCGACAAATCCAATTAAGCTACATAGGAGATAGGCAGAATATGAAATTGGGTCAACTCGCAGACTGAAGATTGAACTGATTGAGGGGATAATATTTGGTGGGCGTAACTCATGATGCAGCTTGATGGGATACCTGCCTCCAGAGTCACCTAAAATGACCAACGCCGTGGGAATATGCAACGAGACAAGCATTTTTGAGTCTCAAGCCTTGGGAGGCTCGAACAGATCGGGTTTCATATTTATCTTGCAAAGCTTTGCCACACAGCCGCTCAGTTGAAGCAGTGATTGCACACCGTCTAGGATGCGCATATGCGTGAATCCAATCTCCCGAATGAACTCTAGCTTGGAATGCTCGGACAACGTGGGGATGGTCTTGGTGACTCGGAACATGGTACTAATGATATCGTGAGAAGAGTAACCCAAGGTCCTGTACATGCAAACTGATTAGAAGCCTCCACCACGTCGAAGCAAGGATGATTTGAACATACCATAGCTCATTCAAACCCTCTAGTGCCACATCCACCTTGCCTTCCCAGCAAGCCTTGATCATGGCCTGGACTTTAACCGGGTGCGGGCTATCGACTACTCGAAAAACATTGTCTCCGCTGACGAAACCGAAACCGGACCAAGTACTCTGCAGGTTGTTGATAGCCTGACGCATGTCACCCTCCGCACTGAAAACAAGTGCAGCAATTCCATCCTCGGAGTGTTCGACGTTCTCCGCCTCGCAAATTTGCATCAACCGTTTCACAACCTGAGCATCTGTCAACCGGGCATACCGGAGAATGGCACAACGGGATTGAAGGGGTTCGATGATCTTGTTCGATTGGTTGCAGGCAAAGGCAAAGCGTGTGGTAGAGGAATATATTTCCATAGTTCGTCGCAGGGCTTGTTGAGCACCGGCGGTCATACTGCGGGGAGATGTGAGTTCAATGGCCAAAACCGAAGTGCGACGAGAACAAACCTATCGGCTTCATCAAGGATAACCAACTTATGGCGTCCTTGGGGCAGGGTAACCTTCTTTTGGGCAAACCCTTTGATTCGATTCCGCACCACATCGATACCTAGACCATAGGATCAGTCTCGACAAAGTCATGGGAGCAATTATGCCAAAACCAACCTCTCTCATCACTTGCATTCAACTCCAAAACTGCCTCCTTGTACGCATCTCCCAGAAGTTGCCGCGCCAGACATAGTACGGAAGTGGTCTTTCCAATACCCGGCATGCCGGAGATAATGACGTGCGGCATATTACCATCTTTAGCAATGATCTTTAATCGCTCTACTGTTTCAGTGTTGCCGACGATATCATCGAGGAAGGTTGGGCGATATTTCTCGACCCTTTTGACAAGCCAAAGGTTAGCTCTGCCGGATATTATCGTGAAAGAAAAGCCTACCAGGGGAGCTCATAGTCCACAGGGGCACCAGCAGTATTTGCCTTGGCACCATTGCGAGAAGCAGTTGAGGAAGATTCAGCTTGAACCATTGTGAGTAATTTGGTGATATCAAAGTGAAGAAGGGGAGACGCGAAAGAAGCACGCGTGGGAGACGCGATAACGGCTTATCAGCAGGCCTGTGCACTTCGCTGTGATGTTCGGCGTTGAGGCATTGAGGCAGTGAAGCTATTAGTTTTATTTTGTTGGTTTTGTATCATCTCAATAACATCTTTGGAAGTCAACTGGTTCAATACTGGCGTTGTCGCGGTCATTTCTTTTCCCATTTACTTCATTCCGCGCCATTCTTCCTCTCTTCGCCCCCAACAACATTTATTCTTAATACCTAGAACCCAGGGAATGACAGTTTTCCCTCCATCTTACATCCTTTGACACGTATAGCAGGTCCCAACCTGCTCCTCAAAATATTCACGCGTCCTCCGCGACGTGCACGGCTCCCCGCAGACTCAGAACCTCCGGCCAAACACAACAGGGAAGACACAAAGTGTGCTGTGTATAGTCATAGTCATTCAGCCATCTGGAATCATGAACCATACCTCTGTACGTCGCAACCTCTTCCATGGGAACCTCAGCCGTCGACCTGCTTCCGCAGGACCACCCAATGGCGCAGTTCCTCAGAATCACAATGGCCTTTCCAATCGCCCCTCGCACCGCCTAAAGCCTACATTCTCGGACTCGGGGCCACAGACTCGACCATTCAAAACTGCGGAGAATAAGGAGATTGTGGTTCGGGACAAGAATGGCAGCTACAAGCTTGAGATTCCGACATTGCCGCAGGCTCTGGTCGGAGAGGATGGAGAGGAACTGGCTGAACTTGCCCCGGGGGATGGAGCATTCGAGTCTTCGGAACTCACTGGGCGGGACAAAGAAAGTATGATTTTGACACAATGTTGATTTCCTCTATGACGATAATCTGCTAACACTTGACTAAGAGTTCGAGGTGGCTCTTGTGGAGATGATGGTTCGACACCGAACTAGACAATCGAACGGTGAACCTGATGGTAAGTTACAGTCCGATCTTCAGTCCGACTGTCCTTTCTGTGGTCATATACTGATCGGAAACAGAGATTCTAAATATGGTGCATGAGAGCCTACGCAAAAAGGCGGCATCATTGGATGAGGATAATTGGATGTTTGAGCCTGAGAAGGACTTGATTTCTAATTAGACAGGGCTGCGCTTGCTGCATGCATATTGATCTCATTACACTCTCAGTTAGATATATTTCCTGCAAAGGCCTGCCACAAAAGACCCACTCAATTGGTCTCTTAATCAAGCTCCATACTCGATGGCGGCGCCTCGACCTTCTTCACAGTTCTGGATTGCGAGGCTCCTCTGCCACCTGTCTTGTTCTGACCTCCTCCAAACAACATTCCACTCATCATATCCATCAAGGGGTTTCCTTGCCGGGGGATCTTGATGGCGAAGTACTGCTCGCCAATCTGAGCCAGAGCATCGTCCCAGATACCAACTTCTCGAATTTGTGCCGCATAATGTGCGGTGAGCTGCCGGAAGAGATCGGCACTTCCGCGCTGGATAGCCAACAGCAACATGCTAATGAAGTTCACCAAAGGTAGGGCAGGAAACACCCGGGCGTCGGAGCTGGCACTGCTGACATCCTGCACAGCGAGCTGAGGATTGGCTGCTGCAAGCCGCGAAGTAAAAATCAGCAAGGCTTTGTTGGCGCTGCGGATATTTCCAGTGAGAAGGTACGGGAAGACTGCGCGTGACGCATAGATCGCTGCGGTGTGCGGCTCGTCGCTGGTGTACCACTCATACTCGAGCTTTGCAAGGGTCTCAGCTGACTCGAAGGTGCCTAGGGTGAGATGTTTCTCGGCATCGTACGGCTCGTTATCTGAGGCACTAGATTAGAATGTATCAAACCTTGCGCTCCGATACAACTCACCTTCGGCGTATACTGAGCCAACAGCATGATGTAAATCCGGATCTCCTCGTTCAAGTGGTCCAAACTTTGCGCTCCATCCAATCATTTCTTGGATGAATCTCTTCCGTGTAGGTTCGTCTGATGGGAATTCGCGCAGCAGCTCGATCAGACGCTCTGAAGAACAAGAGTATACAAGTTAGCAGTGCTAGTTCCGTGGTTGCTACTAAGACAAACTGAAGCACCAAGACAGACTACCGCATGCTGCAGTATTCAACCCCCAGTCATCAAAACATGCTGGATAGACTCACTCTTCCGAGAACGGCCCTCTGCATCATCAGCACCGCCTGAGATCTCCCATTCGGCTTTATTGTATACCTCCAGCACCAACATTATGGCCAAGTCTCCACCACTAGCCGATGCACCCTGCTGAGAACCAGCTTTCAATAGCTCCTTGGCGCCACCAGCCAGGATCTCCGCCGCAGCATCGTAGTTGGACTGCTTGATATATCGGACAGCAATAACACGTAGTTGCTGGTGAGCCTCGTAGTAAGCTCCATCCGCAATCCTATGGACAACCAAAAAAGTCAGAATGGGATCCTTCCAGGCCGGAAGTGGTCTAAGGTGGTTAGAGGCCAGGTGGGATTCTCACTTTTCTCGCTGGCGGGCGATGACCTTGTCAATCCGAGATGCCATTGTCGACTAAAATGATGCGATGAACATTTAAATCATAGAAAAGTAGAAATCAAGGACGCTATCAAGCAGAGTGCGCAGTGCAAGAATGTTCGCGGGGAGTTGGATGAGACTTGGTGGGGACGCGGCAGTCCGCTCAGAGCCCTGGAGAACATGGCATCTCCGGTATCTCCTCAAGAATACCTTTTATTGTTGCTTTGTAGCTGGTACTACAAGCCTTATTCTTACGCTAAATCTTGATCTCTGCTGTTTGGAACCTGTTCGTCCTATTGACCCCCTGTTTCCGGCGATCTTACGAAATTACCACGCTATTTCGAACCTCCCAAACGACGATACGAGCTACCCAGGTCACGACAATCTATATCAAGGACCAAGTGATCGCTCTTCTTCATTCGACCCTGTCTATCACTCAATAGTGCAACAAGCTCATCATGAACTGGTCGACCTTCAATATCCAGCCCCTGCACCGCTTCGGCGGCGCAAATACCTCTATCCGGAGACCAAGGGTAAGCCAAAGACCTGGCGCTATGTCAAACATAGGAGAACAATTAACTCACCTGGTGCTAGGAAATTGCTTGCTTCTCTTATGATGACCAACATCGTTTTTCCCTGGGTGATTCGTCCATGGCCTACTATTACACGCCAGCTCTCCCTGCAGACCTGAACAAGGGCTATGAGACATTCCAGAAGCTCAATGATGTCCCAGATGAGCACTTGGATGCTTTACTTGATACTCTGATTGCTCATGAGAAAGAAACGGAGAAGAAGTGTGATGTCGACGTCGTTACATGGAGAGGAATGATGACCAAGGTGTGTGTTGAATTGAACTCTAGCGCGGATTATCATCCAATTTCGATTTAAATCTGACTCCTATATGCAGATTCTAACAGCTCCCTTTGATAACATGAATGGGTTTGTAACCCTTTTCTATCACCACCATAGCGCGCTGTGTATCTAACCATGCGCTCTCTCTAGCTTCGAGATGAATGCA